TGTATTATTAAGATTATAAAAATACAGAAGGAAGAAAATTCAGCAGCTGGAGTGTAGTTTGTATTTTTATGTGTGTGACTCTGCTATTAATTTACTGCACAACATGGGAAGCAGAAGGGTCTGAAGTGGAAGAGGATGGGACTGTAATTAGCAAAGGCAGGGTGATAATGAGTTATTTTATACTGGTGCTGTGCATGAATTTTCTTAACCCTATGCACTGTCTGCTGGTGGCATTATAGCAATTCCTGCTGGGAATGCATCCAACAGCCAGGTTTCACTTGGTGTCCCTCCTCTCCTGCAGGAGTTGCCCACAAGCTGGTAGATGTAGCTGATAGTCATTTTAGCAGATAAATGTGCTAAGATCCAAATCTTGATAACCAGGAGGAGGCTCAGTTGTGTGTCTCGCTGGGCTCTGTGTCTTGCACTGGAGATGGTAGGAGAGGGGGTGGCTGGGATTGGGATGCAGGAGAAGGCTCCAAAAAAGTGAGGAAGCCGGGGAGAGATCTGCATTTGGTGTCAGTACATGTTGTAGGGGGGTTTGGGGGCTGGTGGGTGTTGGATACACTGTGAAAAGGGCCTCAGCAGTGCAGGTACGGAGGGGAGGGGTGGAACAGGAGTGGGCGTTGGAATTAAAACCATGATGGGTGCAGAGGGTGGTGAGTAACAATTCCCCAGCAGAACTCCTGTCCTCTTTATTTGGAGCTGTAGAAGGGATTCAGTCTGCAGTGACGTGCAGCAGTGCGAGGGTTTTTCCCACCTGCCACTGGAGGAGGTGTTTGGACGCTTTGTGTGGTGTAAAATCCATTCTTCCACATCAGGAAGGTGTTCCAGTGCTGCCTGGAGGATGAAGTCACCTTTGTAACGTTGCAGCTGCAATTAACATCTTACTAAAAAAAGCTTTGGGGAGGGATTGCCTTAATTTTGGCTTGGAGCGATACCCATTTCCAAACACATTAGGAAAAACCTGAACTGCCATAACCCTCTTACAGTTGTCACCAGCCTGAGTTGCCATATTTAGAATGTTGATGCTCTAATGGCAAACATTAAAAGGTTAACAGCTTGTGTTTTTATGGCAAAGCATTAGAGAAAAGCTTTCCTCTAAACGAAACAATCCCCTCGGAGAATGTAAAATGAAATAAAAAATAGAAGAGGAAGTGAACTCTTTTAAAGTGCTTGTGGAGAAAATGGAAATGGCTTTAGAAAGCACTTCTTCCAGAATGATCAGGTACTTTTTTAAGGGGTAGATTGTCTCTGGTTATATACAAACTTAAATTTAGCATTGAATTATCCATTAGTGTAAATGTGCAATGTCTAAATTGAAATCCAAAGATCATTCCCCTGTTGTTTGCTTTAGTCATAGTCTGCAACCTAAACTAAGCTTGTTCTGGAGTCAGCAGCAGGGGATGAAGATTTTGCTTCTCCAGAGCCTTACTGAGGTGCTGTCTCAATACTGAACAACCTGAATGCAGTAAGTTGGCAGCTATTTTTTTCCTTAATCAGCAGAAATCATAAATGAGAAATGACTCACACAACTTCAAATGTAATTGGAGATAGCCCTGAAATCAGCTGGTAGTGTAGATCCTTCTTTTTGGTGCTCAGGTGGATGGAGAATCAGTGCATGTGCAAGTTCTTGGTAGCAAATCTTGTGTTTTCTGTCAGAGTGGAGCTGTTTGAGTTGTGAACCTGTAATTGTTCTGGTTGTACGAAGAGGGCACGGAAGGTTGGAGTCCGTAGATAAATGGAATGAGTAAACAGCTCCACACCTCCCTCCTGATAACGTGTGGAACACCTTTAGCAAACTTAATGAGGGGAAGTGGGATGGGAAGGACAGAGGTTGACAGTGGCTCTCTCCCTCACTTGATCCATATCCAGTCACGCTTGGGTCACATGGGGCAATTCCAGGAGGAGCAGACCTGTGGCACAGACCCAATCCAGCACAGCAGCACTTCAAAGGACCGTTCTGGGGAGAATCAGCTGTGACACACCTCTGAGATGTTATTTTGACCCCATTGCCAGCTCAAAGTGTGGATATCCTGTTGGAACACGGACAGTAGCTGTGGGTGTGTTGGCATTTAGCCATGTTTGCTTTCACCTCTCACTGCCTTGTTCCCCTAACGGAGCTGTGATGAGGACATCACCTTTGCCAGAGGATCTGCTGAATTTGGCAGCCAAGATCCTCCCTGTGGCTGCCTGTGGGTCAGAACTCCACTGTAATGTTCAGGCAGTGGAGCTGGTGTGGATGGTGACGTGTCACATCTTACCTCAAATACTGTTAGTGAACTGCAAAGCTCTCCTGGTAAGAAGCTCACAGTACTTGCTCTGCAAACACAAGTCACAGAACTGAGTGTATTTCCCTCAAGTGGTTGGCAGAAGAGAGAAATAGTATTTCCTGAGGGTTTGATCCAGCCCTGGGAGGCACTAGGGGTAAGAGGGGTCAGATTATACACTTTGTGAAAGCAAATGGGAAGTATTTCTATTTTAACAGTTGAATATTTAGTGATACCTTGTGAAGATGAGGCAAACTGCCATTACCCAGTATGTCTGTAGTAAATTCTGCTGCTGATGGTCCTGACTTTCCTTGGAAACCTTTAAAAATGGAAGTTGTGCATGTCCCAAATGGCTGATTTTCAGAGCAGAAACTGAACTGCACCTTGCTGGTTCTGGCTGCCCATGGGATGGGATCTTGTCCTGAAGCAATCCTTAGTACCTGTGCTACTCCATGCCAGGATTCATGGCATTCTCTTCATGACCGTGGTGGTGCTTTCCTGCCCTTTTCCTCAATGCAGAGTAAACCCTAGAAGAAGGCAAACTCACAATAACATGAGCAACAACAGAGAAAATATTCCAGCAGGTACAGCCACAGGTCCTCCAACAGCCCTACCTTGCTTGGAGTCTCACTCATCTACCCTCTGGGCTGTCTGGGTGCAGGGATTTTCCCCTGCAGCTCGTTATCTCAGTGGCCTCGTTATCAGGGCCTTTGCTGGCGAGGAGGGTGATGACCACGTGCTCCAGGATCTGGTTAACTTGAGGAATCCCCAAAGGCATCAGCAAACACAGATCCTTTGTAACCCAGCCCATGGCTAGAAGGGGATGTACATGCTGTGCCCACAGGTAGGGAAGACCTGGGAGGCTCCTGCTTGCAGAGCCAATCCTGGGCTGGGTTTTGGGTACTTCAGACAATTTTTCCTTCTTCACCTTTGGCCTCTGGGACAGCTGGGAGAAGTCAGACAAGAGAAGAAAACAATCTTGGAGGTCATGCTGTTTCTTTGTGCCCAAGTTGGCCTTGGCTGCTGGACAGCCTGGGCTTTTTGCATTAAATGTTTGTGTTGTGCTCTCTGGTTTGTTTTCCTGCTTTTGACATGTTGAACATCACGATGGTGGTGTTCTGCTATGAAAGATTAAGTGTGTTCCTAGGAGGAGACTCTGTCACCTTCCAAATCTCAGTGCTGAAGTCAATGGAGGACGTGGCAGATGCTCAAGATTTATGAGAACTCTGTAATTTATTTCCAAAAGTAGGAAATAAATCTCGAGTCTTGGAAAAAAATCGACTTATCTCAACTACTCTTTCTGAAGAAGGATTCAATTAACTCTCCAGAGATGATGGAGCTCTGCCATCCTGTGAAGAACTGGGAGTTCTCTGTGAATTGAGGTGATCTTGATCTTTTCTGGTGGAAAGTGGAGTGCGAGAACAGGGGGGATTTGTGTCAAATTGATCTACCCAAGGTTTGGAAACTTCTCTTGGGGGATTTGCTATCTCTCTATTGGAGAGCTCTTGCTTGAGTTGGTTTTCCTGGGGGGTTAATCTAGTGGGGAGAGTCTCCTGCTGCTTGGCCCTTGGGAAAACTGCTCTGTGTGGAAGTGGGAACTAGCAGGAGCCTGGAGTGTTTCTCAAGTTGCCTCACATGCTCATCTCTGCTGAGGGCTGGCAGGCATGGGTTTTGTTTTTTGTTTTGGCATTTTTTGAGGCAGAACTTTCAGTTTTCTTTAATAGTTGACTTTGTTCCTGTGCAGAGAATGGTTGGGGCTCGAATCTTGATGCCTTTATTAGCGATAGAATGAGTTGAAAACACGAGAGGCACAGCTAATGGTGTGGTCTGTACTGTAGTAGGACTCTTTCTAAGGCTGGTACCTTGCCAGAATAAAATCATCCCAACTCCAGAGAGCTCCTGAACTATAGTGACCCTGCAATGATTGTGTGCTAATCCTGATAATTTTATTTAGAACTTAAAAACACTGAGCTATAACTGATGATTTCCAATAATAAAAGCTAAATTTGAGGATAGGGGGATGTTCCTCTGGTATCAGATTGCTGAATACTTGTATATTGCTTTTCCCAGTGTGGGAAATTCCTTAATCTTTCAGGCTTCTACTTCCTGAGCAGCGGGATGGCACCAAGACAAAGACAGGAACAGGTGTCAGGGGTCACAGAATCACAGAATTGTTGAGGTTGGAAAAGACCTCCAAGATTGAGTCCAACCTGTGCCCGATCCCCACCTTGTCACCCAGCCCAGAGCACTGAGTGCTGCGTCCAGTCGTTCCTTGGACACCTCCAGGGATGGGGACTCCAGCCCAATCCAATGCCTGACAACCCTTTCTGTGAAGAAAATTCCTCCTGATGTCCAACAAAAGTCCTCTCAGAGTTCATGCTTCCGGTCATGTCATGATATTTATTATCTAAACATCTGAAAGGATCTTTATTTGAGTTTGCTGTCTTAGTGAGAACTACTTAACTAACTTGAAATGACTAAATGCCACCAAAATAACGGGATTGTTGCCATTAGTTAGTGGAGCTGAGCAAATGGTCCTTCACGTCCAAAACTTTCACTTGCAGTGGACGAATCTCGTTGCTACTTGGCACCAATGAGCAGTTTGAATTCCAGGTTATTTGCACTCTGCTCCTGTTGGTTTTTGGGTGCATCTCTGACACCTAATGCCCATCTCCCGAGTACGAGTCAGAGTGGGAGTTAGTTTTAACTCTTTCCTTACAATGTCGTTCCCAGGCATCGGAAGAGGCCTCGCTGCGGGCTCTGGAGAGTCTGATGACAGAGTTCTTCCACAACTGCACGACAAACGAGCGGAAACGCGAGATAGGTGAGTTCATGGTGCTTCTGGGCTGGTCCCCTTGGTGTTCTGTGGGTGGAGGAGCTGTGTCTGATCCTGAAGCCTCTCCTGCTGATGTAGGACTTGAAGGCAAGGTTTGTCCGGCTTGGGTTTCAAAGGACCCATGGCAGGTCCTGTAAATGATATGTCAGTGACATTCTTCTCTTCCTGTACGTTGTTGGATTCTGTGTCCTGGAGAACCACTGCACAGAGATGGAGCATGGATTTCAACACTAGGCATGCAAAGCAGAAGGCTGTCCTAGTTAATGGGAAGTGACAAGCAGGAATAAACAGCGAGGTTTCACTTTGGCTGGTGTTATTAAATATGTCCTGAAAGCCAGCAGAGGTCCTGCAGGTGCTCTGGGTGTCAGTGGTTGGTGGCTGTAAAGAGTCAGGTTCCTTTTATTCTCAAACAGCCACGAAGATGCTCCGAGGGCTGGAGCCCCTCTGCTCTGGAGCCAGGCTGGGACAGCTGGGGGTGTTCACCTGGAGAAGAGAAGGCTCCAGGGAGACCTGAGAGCCCCTTCCAGGGCCTAAAGGGGCTCCAGGAGAGCTGGAGAGGGACTGGGGACAAGGGATGGAGGGACAGGCCAAGGGGGAATGGCTTCCCACTGCTCGAGGGCAGGGTTACATGGGATACTGGGAAGGAATTCCTATCTGTGAGGGTGGTGAGGCCCTGGCACAGGTTGCCCAGAGAAACTGTGGCTGCCCCATCCCTGGAAGTGTCCAAGGCCAGGTGGGACAGGGCTTGGAGCAACCTGGTCTACTGGAAGGTGTCCCTGCCCATGGCAGGGGCTGGAGCAAGATGATCTTTAAGGTCCCTTCCAACCCAGACCATTCTGGGATTGTTTCGTTTCTCCTGTCTTTAGTACCAAAAGTATGATCAGCATGAATCCTTGTCCCAGAAATCGTTCTCCCAGAAATCCTGTAAAAAATAAACAACTAGGCAAGGATTTTGTTTTGTTGTGTTTTTTACCGTGGTGGAGATCTGCTGTGGAAAAGGTGTATCCCTCATTTTCCTGCTTAAATTGCAGGAAAGAAACAAATTGATTAAGCTTTAAATTTGCTTAGCCTGTAAAATAGCCCTTATGGCTTTTCTTTTTGGCACATTGTCACTGGATGTGAGATGACCAAATCCTTACCTGAGTGTTCAGAGAGGTTCTTGAAACACTGGCCTTGCTCTTGAAGCAATTGCATTTAGAAAAGGTGGTTTTAGAACGCTGTGTGTGATCTAACATGTTCCTACTCTTCCACAGTGCTCTGAAATCACAACTTTTGGCTTTTATAGATAAAATGGTAATGTTCATAATACAATTTTTGTGTGATTTGTTTTAATATTCAGCTCTTAGTCTGCTGTGGTAGTTATGTCAAAACTGCTTCTAAAATAACACATCTATTTTGTTTTCATTAAAGTCTCTCATTAGATTGCTTTTAATACTTTAGAGTGTGATTTTATTATATTTTTTTCCTCCTCCAGATTGTTTGAACCATTCCCTGAACATGGAGTCTCTTCTATGCTCAGTGTGTTACTGTGCTGTCACTACACACTGTTAGGGATTTGTTTACAGCTTAGGAATTTTAATGTAATGTTTTACATTGAAGTTAAAATTAAAACTAAAGTGCATTTTGAAACAATACTTTATTTTTTTGCAGAGGAGCTTTTAAATAACTTTGCCCAGCAGATTGGAGCCTGGAGATTCTGCCTGTACTTTCTGTCCAGCACGAGGAATGACTATGTGATGATGTACAGTCTGACTGTGTTTGAGGTGAGCTCTGAGCTCTTGCCTGCTCAGTGCATCTTCTGCCTGGTGCAGTTTTATCTGGCAATCGATTTTTGGGGGGGAAATGTTTGTCTAGAATGGCAGCCCTGGTAAGTACAGAGATAAAGAATGCTATTATTGCTCTCTGCTAGAGAGGTTGCTTAATGGCAGGCTAAGAGTAGGGGAAGATGAATCTTTGTACACAAATTGAAGAATTCATTTCCTGGCATCTCTAAGTACAAAATTACCTCCAGTTTCAGAGGCTGCTTGAGTTTCTGCACGATGCTTTTAAGGGAGTTATTGTTTTTATACCCTTTTTATGATCAGAAATATGTGTGTGATTACCTGCTGCAAGCTCCTGCAGACTTTAATGCTGAGAGGGAAGACAAAGATGCTTTTAGCTTTCTGACATTTCACTGTTGTGGTTGATGGTCTTGAACTACATCCTGCAAACTTGTGCTGGTTGTAGAGGTGAGGTCTCTCTTAGGTGGCCACATCCCACCCTTCACCTATTTATAAAAGAACAAAATTAGGGTTAAAAGCCTCGATATTGATCTCTGTGTCTACTGGAAGAAACAGAAGTACTCTGTGAACAGCTCTGTTGTATCAACTGATTTCTCAAGTGACTTTCCCTAAGGATATCCTGGGGTTTGGTCCACGTCACACCTCACCCTGGTCCAGTTGTGGCCTCTGTTGTGTTCCTGCTGGGTGGGCACTCTGAGCTGAGCCTCTGAATCAGAGCTTGTAGCCTTTGCAGTGAGCCACTTTTGAGGTAAAACAAACAACTCTGCTCTTAAAGTTGTGTTGGTTTGACAGATTATCTGTGTTGTTGTTGACTTCCTTACTTAAATATTCACTTTATTTATTAGGGATTGCATAGGGAGTCTGGACTCGATCTGCAAAATCAATCTGATTTGCCTTCCCCTCAAAGAGGGCTGATGGAGAAAAATGGCAAGGGAATTGTTCCCTGCTCTGGGATGGGTGTCCCACAGCAGCCTGCAAAAATTAAACTGATTTTCATGAAAAGGAAAAGAAGTGCAGGGCCAGGAGTTGGACTCCAATGACCCTTGTGATCATCCTGTGTGGATGTCCCTTCAACTTCATAGTTGAATTTTGTTTACTGAGCCTCTGCTTCCCTGGAAGGGGAAAAGGAACTAGTACTGAAAAAAACCCCAGAATAAAGAAACCACTGTCTGAGTATAGAGTGAGGGACAGAACTCCACAGCCCAGGTGAGGGATTAGGATGTCTCCATGGAGGAGCTTGAATTTCCAAAGTTAACTGCTGTAGTGCTGCACGTTGAACTGGTCCTCAGAGCCATGGCCAGTCCTAGTCTGCAGCTTCATCCATCTCCAGCTGTCCATGAGTGCTGAGTCAGTCAGAGGGTGTGTGGAAACACAAGGATCATTCCCAAAACTTCTTGAGGATATTGTATTTTCTAGACTGTTTAGAAAGTTAACAGTGAATCTGGAATAAAACTCCTCCTGGACCCCTTCCAGATAAACCGTTTTCACCTCCTGCTTTTGGAAAAGAAAACATCTCCCCCAAAACATTTGTAGGTGGAGGAAGCTGCCACTGTCAGGTTAACAGAGTAGGACAAAACACAGTGATCGTTGAAAGATAGATATTAAAGCTAAGGCAACATCCAGTTTTATTGGGGCTTCTGAAACTCTCCTTCTGGGCTTGCATTGAGGAACCCTCAGTTGCTTGGGTCATTGTTGTTCTTAAACAATCCTTTTGGATCTTCTCTGCTAGAAAACCCCAAAACCAACTTCTTTGAGGAGTTCATGTATAAATATCCCTGTGTACCTCTCTGCTGTGAAGTGGTGCCTTTGTACAGAACATCCCTACTGTGGATGTGCCTCAGTAAAAGCCCTCTCTGTAGGTTATTCCAAGAGGCTCAGCTCCTAATGCTCCAGAGTCCCTAAATGGGATCGTAGAGTGGCAGGGAAGCAATTTGCAACTGTGCCTTCCTTTGGAATTTTTCTGGCTTTAAGTGGACTAAAAGCTTTTTGTTCCAGTGGTGCCTTGTCACTGCCAGGCAGTCACTGCAGTGACCTTCCAGCTCAGCTTCAGGACACCCAGGTGGCATCAGAGCCATCTGAAACTGAACTTGCTTTGCTCTTTTCCTGCTTCACAGGAGACTGTGCTTTCCCCTTTAAAGGGGAAAATCTGGATGTCCAGGGTTAAAAGATAGTGGAAATAGTTCTATGACTGCCAGTTAGTTCTGCTTGACCAAAAACCAGCTAAAATGGTGACATGCTAGTGCTCTGTCCCTGCATGATGTTGTTCAGCCTCAGGAGAAGAGGAGGCTCTGGGGAGACCTTAGAGCCCCTTCCAGGGCCTAAAGGGGCTCCAGGAGGGAAAGAATTCTTCCCTGTGAGGGTGGTGAGGCCCTGACACAGGTTGCCCAGAGAAGCTGTGGCTGCCCCATCCCTGGAAGTGTCCAAGGCCAGGTTGGGCAGGGTTTGGAGCAACCTGGGCTGGTGGAAGGTGTCCCTGCCCATGGCAGGGGGTGGAACAAGATGAGCTTTAAGGTCCCTTCCCATCCAAACCGTTCTGTGATGCCCTGATTCTGTGTGTCCACGTTCCCTCACTGAGTTCAGTAAAGCACGTCCAAGATGAGCTCATCTGGGAGCTCTGTCTGTTCTTTTCCAGAACCTGATCAATAAGATGTGGCTCGGGGTCCCATCTCAAGACAAAATGGAGATCCGCAGCTGCCTGCCCAAGCTCCTGCTGGCTCACCACAAAACTCTGCCTTACTTCATCAGGAACAAGCTCTGCAAAGTCATCGTGGACATCGGCCGCCAGGACTGGCCCATGTTCTACCACGACTTCTTCACCAACATCTTGCAGGTGAGATGTCCATCCATGAACCAAACCAATTTTTCCCTCTGGAAACATCATTTTGTTTCCTCGAGTAGTGGCTTGCCTTGATGAAGATGAAGTAACTACATGAAAACCAAACTTGCTTTTTAAATTCCTTTTCCTTTCTAATTTTGGGGTAACGTTTAAATTCCTACAGGTTACGTGTCTTTCTAGTTATGTGAGTGAAACAAGGATAAACTTTGAATTTCAAATATTATGAGGTAGTTCTTGAAAATAAAGATGTTGTGGGTCGTTCTTTAAAGAAAAAAGTCAGTAAAACTATGGATGTGTCACTGGGTGATTTTCAAAGGTGAAGTTTCTCAACGTGGCTGTTGGAGGTTTCTCACCCAATACCCTAAAATCTCAGGTACCTCGTTGTGTGAAGTCACTAATGCAATGTTGGTGGGGTGTTTAAGAAGGTTCTTGCAGGAAGATTCGAATATGAATCAGAGGATCCTGACTGAGACAGTGCCATTAATTGGAATTTTGGTTGTAATTCAGCATCTTTCCAGGGAATCCTGAGCCAGGTTAAGAGCTCACTGCTGCTGGAGCTTGACCAGGCTGGTGTAAACCTCTTTGGATTTGAGTATTTTGTCTCCAGGTTCCTTAAAGTTGTTCCTAATGAGCTTAAAAAGGCTGAGTGTAAACTGAAGTGCTGCACGGGTTTTTTTTTCTGCTGACATAATGACATGATTTGAATGCAGCAAAGCCCACAGCCAAGCCACGAGACTGTGATTTAAATCCAGGTCCTTGAGTGTCAGGAGTTTATTTGTTAAGGGAAATGGCTTTAGTATTAATTGCAAAGTTTAAAAAAAATACTGACTTGTCTGCAGAACTTGTTAGTAACTGGTGTAATCACTTCTCAGACAGCTTCCTGTGGTGTAACATGCTGCAATTTTTGCCTGAATTGTCAGTTTGACACTAAATATTTTGAGATGACCGTCCATACTTGTTGTTTTGGCTGTCCTTTCACCTGGATCTGAACTGAATTGCTTCCTGAGTTCCACTGGCCTTTCTAGCACTCTGAGGGTTATCTTAAGGGATTGCAGAGCTCACTTTAGGAATCTGTTTATCCCTAAGCCTCTCCATGTGAACTCAGCTATGGAGGGAAATGTTCCCATAAATTAATTTATGTAGCAGACACATTCCAAAGATGTTCAGAGGAAGTGGAAGAAAAGCACTAATAGTGAATTCCAAGGCCTGAAAACAATGAAGAGGAGCACAGGAGCAGCATGACTTGCTTTTAGAATTGCAGATGAGTCCTATCTCAAGACTTTTTTCTGAGATCATTTGAAGCAACTGTTTGATTATTTAGCATTAAGTTGTATCTCAGTACTCTGAATAGTCTCCATACCTTTTACTGAACCATTGCAGGGGTGGAGAAGAAAAATAAATTGGACTATTCTGTTGTCATTATGCAAATCCGGTCGTTCTACAGAGAAAGTGCTGCTTCCTTAGGGGTTTAAAATTTGTTTTAAACAGTGTCAGGGCCTAGTATTGCTCAGACTTCTGGGATTTGTCAGAAAGTATTCAGAGAGATGATGTTCAGCCTATTCAGAACTGACCAACAAGTGGTGTGTTTCATTTGGTTCTTCACCTGGCTGCTCCTGTGCCAGGGGCCTTCCTTTCCAAAAGCCAAGCTCGTGTACCTCTGAATGAGGAGCTTTTAGATGGGCTCTTTTCTCCCCAGATATTTCACCAAACCGTGTCTTCTTAGCAGTGTTAACTCAACCTGGCTCTGCTTTGGTGGGTCAGGGAGATTAGGACCAAAGTCAGCCTGTGTTACAGAATTATGACTTTAAGGATTAGTTTCAGTAACTGTGGTTGGCTTTGGAGTTTTTCTCCCAGAGGGAGCGGTGCATAAGTCACTTTGGATGTTTCAGGTTAGCAGTGGAGAGCAGAGCTGTCCTTCAGCTGGAAATAAAACTTTGTCCCATTTGAATGAGTCTTTCATCAGTGGCTAATGAAGGCAAAAGTCATCTTTTTTCCCAGTCCTATTCCAGCATGTGGTGGAAGTTACTCTTTGCAGAGTAAACACAATTCTCAGTTTGAGATGCAATTCAGGTGCAAGGAGAGGTCGGGTCCTCCTGCTGTGTTCTGGTGGCATCTGATCCTGGCTGCAGCTTTTGGTGTGTGTGGGGCTGGTATTTTTAGTGGGAAGCTGATGGCTGATGGTGCAGGCTCCTGAGCTGCAGTGACAGCCCTGTTGTGTGGTGACACTGCTGGTGCTGAGGTGACTCTGAGGAGTGATGATGTCAGCAGAAGGAACAAACTTACTGGTAAACACAGAATGTGTGCAATGGCATTATGAAAGCTCTCTTGAAACCCCAAGGATTCCCACGGGGCTTGAACTGTTGCAACATCACAGATTACTGTCTGGGGAAATGGACTATTTGCAGTTCTCTCCCCTCGACATGGAGCTCTGCAAACTGCAGGAGCTGAGACTCCCCAGTGTCGAAGCCCTTGTTAACTGCCAGCAGTGCTGTGTGTCAGTGTGCTGCGTGTCAGCAGTGCTGTCTGTCAGCTGGGTGTTGTCATCACTGTTGCACTCGTGTGTTCCTCAGTTAATCCAGTCTCCTGTGACCACTCCCCTGGGGCTGATCATGCTGAAGACGACGTCGGAGGAGCTGGCGTGCCCGCGGGAGGACCTGAGCGTGGCCCGCAAGGAGGAGCTGCGCAAGCTGCTCCTGGACCAGGTGCAGACGGTGCTGGGGCTCCTCACAGGTACGAGTTCCTGCACCAACCTCACCACCCCAGAAGTGCTGCTGAGCCGGCGCTTTCGGGCTGCAGCGAAGCAACACGTGGGCTGCTCCTGCAGTTTGAACACTCAGCTCTACCCTGAGGCATTTGGGGCAGCTTAATATGAGCCAGCTTGTGTAGCAGAGCAAGTGCAGGGCTCCATATGTCCTGTCTGGGAAGAGGGATGGAGGTTGTCTTCTCTTAGTGAGCCCAAAGAAATTACCAAAGAAGTTTTTACACACGATGTTCCTTCTCACAGCACTAAAGGCGTGTTCTACTGAAGTTCTCTTGCACTCTGTGCCATGGTTGTTAGATCAGTTTGTCTTTAGCAGCCTGTTCTGAAAAATCTCTCTTTGGTTAGGTATTTTGGAGAGCATCTGGGACAAGCACAGTGCCACTGCTGCCACTCCACCACCATCCCCGACTTCAGGAGAGAGCGGTAAGGAAAACTGAGCTACAGGGTGGTGTTTCCATGTACTTAAACCTGCAATATCACACACAGATTCCCTCCTTTACTGTCTAACGTCTTGTAATAACCCTTTCCTAGAGCTTTTCATAGGCCACCAAATTCCTGATTGGAAAGAAAAACCCCTTACAGGAAGAAGCAGTTTCCACTGCAGGAGATGCCCCACTGCAAATGTCACCTCAGTGAACAGGACACAGAGAGCTGCTTGTTGTCCTCAGAGGGCAGAAAGCTTTGTGGAGTGTCAGTGCAAAATGCTCTAGTGCCAGCGAGTTGGAATTGTGAAATCATTAAGGTTGGAAAAGCCCTCTCAGATCATCAAGTCCAGCCATTCCTGAGGACTGACAGCTGAGTAGCATGTGTACCCAAGTGCCACATCCACATGGGTTTTAAATCCCTCCAGGGATGGGGACTCCACCACAGCCCTGGGCAACCTGTGCCTGACCACCCTTTCAGGAAAGACATTTTCCCAATATCCATCTAAACCTCCCCTGGCACAACTTGAGGCCATTTCCTCTTGTCCTGTCCCTTGTTCCCTGGGAGCAGAGCCTGACCCCCACCTGCTGCACCCTCCAGTCAGGGAGTTGGAGAGAGCACGTCATTGTGCAAGTTTGTTTTCTACCTATTCCTGTTAGGCTTTTGTGTGGGTGTTTATCTGATCTAAACTCATTTACATGCCTGTTTCTTAGTTACATTCAAAGTGGAGAACATATGTTTGCATCCTTGCACTTGGCACACATTTCACTTATGTTTGAGACCTTAAACGGTGAATTAGGAGTTGCAGATCACTTCCCTGTGGCCAGATTGCACCAGTCAGGTTTAGACAGTTGTTGTTGTTAATGTTTTAATTGGTATTAAAACTTTCACATTGAAGTTTGAGCAAAATTTCAAGTGCTTCTTTCCTGTAGAAGAGCTTAAGTCACTTATATTTATATACAAAACATAAACTGTAATGGGAATAAATATTTCTCTGGGTTGGGAGGGGAGTGGATTTTGCTGTAGGTAGGAAGAGTTTGAACAAGAAATATTAACAGAATAGATCAAAGCTTCTAGTATCACTTGGCAGTAGTGAAAGTGGTGCTGGGAGAGGACACTAGTGGAACAAAGTCTGGGCTGGTTGTCGTTGAAGCCTGTTTGAGATGTCCCTCAGTCCCTTGGGGCTTGTGCTGAGGCAGCTTTTATCCACCTGTGTGTTCACCTCGTGACTTGGGATCGTATTTCTCAAACTGAAACTAGGCTGCATTTCTGTCCTGGGCCTTCCCTTTCTCCCCTCTCAGGGAAAACAAACAAACTTTTTACTCAGAGTGTTTTCAAGATAATTGCTCAGAATCAGGACCACACTGACAGTTCCTTTAGAGGTTCAGGTTTTGTTTCACTGGGTCCTGCCTGTGCAAACCTGTTCGTTTGAAACTCTCTGTTTTATTTTTCTGTGCTGTGTCTTAAGCACTTTCTCCATGTTAAAACTGTTGGTGCTTCAAGTTCTTAAAGTCACAGACTCATGGAATCATTAAAATTGGAAAAGACCCCTAAGACTGAGTCCAATCTTTAACCCAGCAAGGCCACCACAGACCACGTCCCCAAGTGCCACATCCACATGGCTTTTGAACACTTCCAGGGATGATGATTCCACTACTTCCAAAAGGAGCACCAATTGCTTCCCTCTCATCCACTGCTTGCCCACTTTCTGTGTTCCCTGAAGGACTTCATTCATGCAGCACAATCCTCCTGTTTACTGGTGACTCTCCAACTTTTTCATTGCTTAGATGAGGCCACCACCCTTTTCTCTATACATTCAGGTGAAATTAGAGCTGTTCCAAGAGGCAAAATAAGCTCCAGAGTCCTTATAAATGTTTAATATCTTCCATCAGAGCCCAAATCTCTTCAGGGTCTTGGAAAACCTTTCCTTGCTTTTTTTGCACAGAGTGAAATGGTCCCTTGCAAGTCTTGCACAGGGTTTAAATAGTGCTTGAAGACAGAGTCATTTCTCATATCACTTAAGCAAAGGAACTCTGATAATGTCCCATGTTGGAAAACATTTGAGTTATTGCATCAGTATAGCATTTACTCAGCAATAATCTTAGCTTCCAAATGTTGTCTTTGCATGATTTATAGCACATTTTGTGATGAATCCCTGCCTTAGGCGTATTCACTGACGTATGGCAAACAGATGAGTAACAGAAATGTTTGGTGCTGCAGAGCCAGGCCCTGACAGTTTTCTCCTTGAGCATGAGTGCAGCTGATCCTGTAAATTTGTCACCTTTTTGCAAAGACACTTAAAATCCCTTAAAGTCAGAGCTTCAGTAATTTAGCTGGGTGCAAAGCTGGGAGTTACAAGGACCGAATTTTTTTCTGGTGTTAATGGATTAAAAGGTGAGAATCTTTAATTCTCATTGATTTATTTGGAGTTTGCTTGACATTTAAAACAATCACAGAATCCCAGACTGTTTTGGGTTAAAAGGGACCTTAAAGGGACCTCATCTTGTTCTGCCCCCTGCCACGGGCAGGGACACCTTCCACCATCCCAGGTTGCTCCAAGCCCTGTCCAACCTGGCCTTGGACACTTCCAGGGATCCAGGGGCAGCCACAGCTTCTCTGGGCAACCTGTGCCCTCACCACCCTCAGAGCCAACAATTTCTCCCCAGTGTCCCACCTAACCCTGCCCTCTGGCAGTGGGAAGCCATTACCCCTTGTCCTGTCTCTCCAGGCCCTTGTCCCCAGTCCCTCTCCAGCTCTCTTGGAGCCCCTCTAGGCACTGGAAGGGGCTCTCAGGTCTCCCTGGAGCCTTCTCTTCTCCAGGTGATGTCCCCCAGCTCTCCCAGCCTGGCTCCAGAGCAGAGGGGCTCCAGCCCTTGGAGCATCTTCATGGCCTCCTCTGGACTCTCTCCAACAGCTCCGTGTCCTTCCTTTGTTGGTTCCCCCATATCCTGAGGCAGCTCTGCAGGGGGGTCTCACCTGAGGGGGCAGAGGGGCAAAATTCCCCCTTCCCCTGCTGCCCATGCTGTGGGATCAGCCCAGGGCACGGGGGGTTTCTGGGTCCCAGCACACACAGCCAGGGCATGTCCAGCCCCTCACCTACCAGCACCCCCAGATCCTTCTCCCAGGGCTGCTCTCAATCCATTCTTTCCCCCCCAACCTGGATTTGTGCTTGGGATTGCCCTGACCCTGGTGCAGCACCTGTGCTTGGCCTCGTTGAACTCCATGAGGTCTGTAAAAGCACAGTGTGAGCAGCTCCTGCCCTCCAGCATCTGCAGAGGTGTGAGTGTCACCATGGGGCTGCTTCAGGGAAAAGATTAAAGTGCAGGGTTGTCTCATTCAGCCGAAGCCACGTGATGCCTTTGGTTTCTGGAGAAAGGAGCAAAGGTAAGGTATGGCAGGGAGTTATGAATTTATTGATGTACAACATCAATCTTGATGAGAAATGGAGACTTAGGAGGAGTCTGTTCATCAGTCAGGCCCTTGGGTACTTTGGAAACAGCTCAGTAAATCATACCTGTTATTTTTGTACTGCTCTTTGTTGGGTCATTTCACTTTCATGAAAGAATCACTCAGATTTTCTGAGAACTTCAAATTCTGTAGGGTAGCAAATGCCAGATTTGTACTCAAGAAAGAGAACTGTGTTGAACAACCTGAGTTGTGAGTTTCCAGCAGGTGGAAGCTTGGAGATGATGGGCAGCATCTGTGGGAAGAGCAGCCTGGCTGGTGGTGGCCCTTGGATTCCATAGAATTTTCAACAAGGATTCTCATTAAAAGCTTTTGAGAAAGCAAAGGCCATCAGGGATAAGGGAGTGTCTGGATTGCTGATGGATTGGTTAGAGGAGGGAGATGAAAGGTGAGTGGAAATGGTGCCCTCTTGCTGTGAGGGGGGAGCTCACCCTGGAGCAGGCAGGTTTAACTTCTGAGCATCACACCAGCTCATTCCACAGAAAATTCGGATCAGTAGCAGTCAAAAATAGGTACCTGCTGTGGTTCTCTGTGGAATTAAGGCTGCACCTCGAGTAGTGGCTGCAGTTCTGCTCTTCCTGTGTCAGTAGGTGCAGAGTGGCAATGAAAGCTTTGTAGAAGGGTGGTAAAGATGATTGAGGGGTTTGAGCGGCTTCCCTGTAAGTAACAGCAGAAGTAGAACCTTCGTTCTGTTGAATTGAGAGTGAGGAAGTGTAGTAGGAACCTAGAGAGTGACATGTAGAAGATGAGCACAGAGGTTATTTCTGTTCCCTGTTTGGGTGCAGGAGGTAGAAAATGAAACTAGCACTGACATACCCCAAACAAACCAGCTTTGTAGTGAAGCTGTGGAACTGTCACAGGATATTGCAAATATTCGACTTCTGTGGCTTCAGTTGGAGAGTGGAGAAAGTCATGGAGGATAAATCCTGAGGCTGTGTAGAATTTTTCCAAATTTTCCTCGGGAAGCCTTTGTCACGGGGTGGTTAGAGGCTGGGGAGTGTGATCTGTGCCTGCTGGGGGTTTTGGTCACTGGGAGAAGGTGCTGCACCGAGGGAGCTTTTTGGTCCGACACCAGAACATCTGCCTTTACATCACCCACAAGTGTCACAGGGAAGCAGAAGCCTCTCTGCCGAGGTTCAGTGTAACGTGGATGTGCCAGAGAACTTGTGCCAAGCTTACACCAGGGATGCTCAACCTTGTGAGGGGGGAGAATTTTATAATAGATTTTTAAAATCCACCCCGCGCCTTTGCTGTTTTCCAAAATATTGTGTGTGTCCTTCCCAGTGAGGCCAGAAGGGTTGTGTGAAGCTAATTCCTGAATACAGAAATCACCAGTTCATCTCAGACCAAGTCTTTGTGACTTGCTGACTCGTGCAGTGTTCTGAGTTGGAAGGGATCCACAAGGATCATCAAAGTCCAGCTCCTGGCCTTGCACAGGGCAACCAGACACTCTGGTGGGTTTTGCTTTCCAGCTGTGTTCCCAAACAAGTTATGTTTCTTTAAAAAGTAGTCTATGCAGCAGGGGGGGAAGATGTTGGAAAATTCTTTTAACTTTAGCAAAATAGTGTTTGATCCCTAAATCAGTGATTAATATGTGCTAGCAGATGTCTTAGTTTTGAGAACAAGGATTGTGTGTCAGGGCAAAGAATGATAAGAGGAGTACATCATGACCTGACCTCATACTTGAGAGAGTCTCAAGGATCTTCATTAGGAGATCCGTAACCATAAAAGGGAAATCTGGCAAATGGGATGTTCCTAAATGACCACCAAAGACCCTCAAAAGACCTTTACTCATATCTAAGTAAGTCCACAGAGATGATTAGCATATGTGCACGTATTCAGGAATAGGATGAATATGTAAGAGAAGTGAAATATGTACACGTTTCTTGACTGTAATCTGGTGTGTTTGGTTGCTGGCCATGCACGTTTTGTGGAGCTATGCCCCTGCTCCCAGCACTGAATAAAGTAATGGTGGCTTTCTAACCCAGCAAACTGATCAGAGTTTATTCCCTGGTTGGTTGTGACAGCTGGGACTGGCAGTATGAGTGTCCATGCCCTGATTTCCATGTGTTTCTCCCCCAGGTGACCTGTTGAGTAGCCTGTTGCAGAGTCCCAGTGCAGCCAAACTCTTGAACCAGCCAATCCCCATCCTCGATACAGACAGTGAATATATCTGTTCCCTGGCTCTGGAGTGCCTGGCACACCTCTTCAGCTGGATCCCTCTGTCCACGAGCATCACCCCCTCCCTCCTCACCACCATTTTCCACTTCGCCCGGTTCGGCTGCGACACGCGCGCGCGGAAGATGCCTTCGGTCAACGGCAGCAGCCAGAACTCGGTGCTGGGGCAGGAGCGGGGCCGGCTCGGGGTCCTGGCCATGTCCTGCATCAACGAACTCATGTCCAAGAACTGTGTGCCTATGGAGTTCGAGGAGTATTTGCTGCGGATGTTCCAGCAGACTTTCTACCTCCTGCAGAAGATCACCAAGGAGAACAACGCGCACACGGTGAAGAGCCGGCTGGAGGAGCTGGATGAGAGGTGAGAGCAGCCAAGCAGCCCAGTGCCAGGGCCTCGTGCTTTCTAAAGGACTGTCTGGATTATTCTGTGTGTCTAATGGCCATTTTTTCAGAGTGCTGTGCTAGGGGAGCCAGGCAGAGAGGTAGGTGCCCACAGGTAAGGTTTGGTGAGGGGCTGACTTTGCTGAGGGACCATGGTGGCACAGGTTTGTGTTCTTTCCTGTCCTCTTCCTCCCCTGCCCCCCGTTCGATGCTGTTTGACTGCAGGTCTGAGGTGGCACAAGAGCTGAACCTTTTGTAACATCACAGAAGAGGCTCAGTGAGGTGAAGGCACTGCAGTGTCCCCTCTCCTGGTCGGTGTCTGCCCTCCTTCTCTGCCCAAACTCAAACACAAAGTGGGGATATATTCTGCCAGTCATGACTTGAAAGAAAACAGTAGTAGTTTCCTGTCCTTCATTGAGCCATGGCCATATTTAATTCTTTTTTATTTTTACTTCTTTTAAACCAAAATACAGCTTGGGGAGCTCTGTTCAGTGGCTCCACCACTGAGTTTGTCCACATGCTTGGCTGAAGGCAGCAGGGAAGCAGCAGCACTTTGAAAGGCTGCATATTCTCATTTTCCAGAGAGTTACTGCCATCTTTTGTTCCCTGAAACAGCTCCACTCTTTTATATCCAATATTCCTGCTCGTAGGAGAGAAGGTGAGATTTGTCTCGCTGTTGTGCTGAGTGGCTGAACCCTTGTGTTGGCAGGGTGGTGGAAGAGGTGGTGATTTGGTGCTGCTGCCAGGGAAGGCTGGTGCTGACATTGGCAAAGAGGTTGCAACTGTGTGAATGTGCTGAGTGTCTTACCGTGGGTATGTGGTGGTGGAAATAAATTTCCACACAAGAAAAAAAAAACAAACATTTAGACAAAGCTGTGGGTCCATATGCAGAGAGGACTTGGGTGTTTCTTCTGTAAAAATCTTTTTCCGTGTCTTCAGGCACACAAATAACTTTGAGATGGCAAATCTGGATTAAGAGGGAATTCTACTTGCTCATTTTTGTGGTAACTTGCTCTGACTTCACTGTCACTCACTTCCTAGAAATGACATGGGTAGGAATGTGCCACCTTTTGTGTACAAGATACATGCACAGAATCCAGGAGTTCCCATCTGGACTTCAGAAAAGCTTTCCTGGAAACCCCCAATCTCATATTTAACTGTGTTCTTTCTTCTGTGGAAAGTCTCAAGCCTCCTTTGGGGCCAGTTTCAGTGGAAGTTCTGTGGCTGGGTTGGCCCTGGCAGAGATGGTGTTGCCGTATTGTTACATTCTGCTCCTTAGACATGTTATCCCCAGGGATTGGTGGTGTCAGGAATTGTTTATTCATTGCCAAAGTCTGAAATAGGGATGGAACTAAGATGTTCTGGAAGCTGGAATAACCTAACTGGCTTCTGGAGGAGTGGAGCTTTCTTTTCTCCTTGTCTTTTTTAATGTCCAAAACTAAACTTACTGCCTGAAAATGTCACTTTAGCTTGGACTAACAAAATCCTAAACAAAATTGGCACTGAAGAAACCACTTTCAGTAGATGGGTGTCCTCAGAACCTGCAGGCCCTGGGTCCCTTCCTTCCCTTCCTCTCATGGTGCTGGTTATTTTTGTTCTGTTAAAGGATCAGTGTGGTCTGAGCACTTTGGAACTGCCAGACTAGCCCAGAAAAGAGTAAGTTTACACTGCCTTTTCTTTGTTTGTGTTTGGCTTTGAAGATCCCAAAATATGGGAAGTGGCTACTAAGGATCCAAGCAATGGCTCGGTGGTTGGAGAAGGGGCTTTAGGGCTGGCAGAGCTCAGGGCAAGGAAGAATTTCACTGGTCTTAGGTCACAGCTTGTTTAGAAAATAAAAATTAAAAGTATGAAGGATGTGTTTGAGTCTGGACTCTATTTCTTTTTACTGACTTTGCTTTTGAAGTGTTTGATCTGTGATCAGGTGTGTTCAGTGATTTCTTGTCAAGTAGACAGAGCCACATAAAAAAGGAACTGAATCTTTTTTGCATATTCAAAGTGGTGTGTGGTTTTGTAGGCTTAGAACAACCCTCAGTGCTGCAGCTCTGGGTTAGCTGGAAATGCCTCTGTCTCTTCAGGGAGTTTTTGTTAGAAAGAGAGGGGATTCCCCCCCCCAAAAAAAACCCCAAGGAGTTTGCAGAAGGGAAGAGCAAGGCAGTATAGTAAAACCAGGCTGTTTATGCATGTCTGAAACTGTGCTAAGCCCGACTTTTGTTTAAAAGAAAAGCCTGAAATACTTTTGCAGTGGGAAGGATGGACTTACCATTGGATTGCTGGAGATCTCACTGTACGTGTGTGATGCTGCAATGGAGTATTAACCTTTTTCTGTATGGATGGATTTGAAGATGATTTTTAACCTTGATGAAGCTCACGTTGTGCAGGGTGTGTTCTTACTCCTCAGTAAAAGCTCACCCCATTGTGGGCTTTGCCCTTTTTCCCTCTAGAACCTTCTGTGCCTTCACTGAGGTCGTGCTCTTGCTGCACTCCCTGGAGTTTTGGTGGCAGGTTTCTTTTGGGATGTGCACTCTGCCCATCCACTGACTAATTCCGTGCTTCTGAGGAAGATTTCTCTATAGCCCAGTTCAGTCACAAGCCTGGGCTCAGCTCAGGAAGTCTTGGATAGCTGCACTGCAGAAGGAATTGTTCTTTCCAGCTCCCAACTCTCCCACACCTGGTGTAAATGTAACACTTGTATTGCTAATTCCTGCATTAACTTCCTGCTGGATTCCTCAGCAGTACAGTTCATCTCACTTATCCTACATCCACCAGCAAGACCACCTTTGCTATTAAATTACTTCTCTAGGGTGGGGAGATTGTGCTTATTTGCAGGCCTGGTTTGAACTCAATGATATTTATGTGAATATTAAAGTTGCTTTTGGCAGGACTGTCTTTCCTGCTGTTTCAGGTGTTAAAGCAATGAAGGGTTGCCCGTCCTGTAGGTAATTGTTGTAGGGCTTTATATTTCAATTGTTTTGCTGGCTGTTAATTGTAAGTTCCTTCTTAGTGAAAGGATTTTGAGTGACTTTTATTGCTGTTTCAGTGAAATTGCTTTTCCTTGTGGCATCCTCCCCGTTTTCTCAGTTTTCCCTTTTCTTTGTAGCTACATTGAGAAGTTCACAGATTTTCTCCGTCTTTTTGTGAGCGTCCACCTACGGAGGATCGAATCCTACTCTCAGTTCCCGGTGGTTGAATTCCTGGCACTGCTGTTCAAATACACTTTCCATCAGGTACAGCCCTACACTGTCATTTTTCCCAGCCTGTTCTATTGTCCTGCTCAGCGGGGCCAGCTTGTTTGCCCCAGTTAAAAGCAGTTATTACTTTGTCTTACTGGCACTTCCCCAGTGGTACTGGGGACTTGGAAATGGCTTCATGTGCTCTTGGATTTAGCTGGAAACAGAGGTCACATGTAGTTACCCTACAACTTGTCTGATGTTTAACTTTGCTTCTGCTTTAATTTTTTTCTAGTCCTTGGAATGGACAATGCTGTCTGGAAAAGTCTCTCTGACTTTCTTGTTTTGTGTTTGGGGATGCTGTTCTTTGTCCTGAATCTGTGACTTTCTTGTAACTTCTAATATTAAATAAAAAAACAAACCCTTTTGCTTTTGGTCCATGTTACCTTGCTGTAGGAGCTGTCACAGTGCAGCTCAGCCCCATACACCCCCACAATAGAATAATGACAAGGAAACAGCTTTATAAAATCACAGAATCATGGAATGGTTGGGTTAAAAGGGACCTTAAAGTTCAACCCATCCCATTGCTCTGCCATGGGCAGGGACACCTTCCACTATCCCTGGTTGCTTTAAGCCCTGTCCAGTGTGGCCTTGGACTCTTCCAGGGATGGGGCAGCCACAGCTTCTCTGGGCAACCTGTGCCAGGGCCTCACCACCCTCACAGACAAGAATTTCTTCCAACATCCCAACTAACCCTTCCCTCTGGCAGTGGGAAGCCATTCCCCCTTGTCCTGTCTGTCCATCCTTGTCCAAAGTCCCCCTCCAGCTCTCCTGGAGCCCCTTTAGGCACTGAAATGGGTTAATTCTGAGCCCAGCCTTGTAATTCCTGGGTTCCTGCCCTTGTCAAAAGCTCTTAGTTATCTTTAGACAGCTCTAAATCTCTCCAGTGACATCCAAGAAATGTGTCAATAAAGCAAGAAGATCTTCTCGTGGATTGAAGTACATGTTAACTCCTATTTTCATTGTATGAAATCAATCCTCGTGATATTCACTGTGAATTGTGGTGTCTTTCAGCCTACACATGAAGGTTACTTTTCTTGCTTGGACATCTGGACACTCTTCTTGGACTACTTGACAAGCAAAATTAAAAGTCGCCTGGCAGACAAAGAAGCAGTGCTCAACAGGTGAGAGCTCAGAAGCTGCTGGGATGTGACAGCATGGAATCATGGAATGGTTTGGCTTGGAAGGGACCTTAAAGCTCATCCCATTCCATCACCCTGCCATGGGCAGGGACACCTTCCACTAGCCCAGGTTGCTCCAATCCCCATCCAACCTGGCCTTGGACACTCCCAGGGATGGGGCAGCCACAGCTTCCCTGGGGAACCTGTGCCAGGGCCTCCCCACCCTCCCAGGGAAGGATTTCAAATAGCTGTGATATTTGTCAAAAATTAGTGACAGGAAATGTTCACTCAGCTCTGTGGCCAAGCTGGCACATGTCCTATGTTCTGGAAGTTATGTTTCAGAAGCCCAAATCCAGATGGAAGAGGAGAAATGAAGCCATTCCAGGGATGGGTTGGCTGAATATTTTCTCAGTAGTTCATCCCAAGAAAGGAAACACAGAACTCCAGACATGTGGGCAGCTAATGGGAATAAACTGCATAAATACATTCTAAAATTCTGGCTGTAATCATCAAAGTTGAGAACAAAACAAACGAGAGGTTTGGATAGAGGAGGCAGTGCCTGAAGAATTGGGATTAGGAGATATAAACTCCTGGTGGAAGGTGTCCATGCCCATGGCAGGGGCATGGAACAAATGATCTTTAATGTCCCTTCCAATTCAAGCCATTTTGTGATTCTGTGATAAAAGAATTGTGGAGAGTGAGAAACGGTAGGAAGTACCCAAGCCTCTCCTCTGGATCCCTTTTGCTTCCCAAAAAAATCCAGCAGCAAAAAGACTTCATGGTCACCATGCAAGGGCTGTGAGGAATAGACTATTGTGGTTGAGTCCTTTCTGTTTCTAAAATGGTGAAGTATAATAAGTGTAAACCTCAGTGCTTCTCACTCATTCAAAAGAATTGAAACCAAGCAAGTTTGGGTAGAGAAACTGTCACTTATGTGTGCTGTGTGTGAACCTTGCAGCCAGAGGAAGGAACCTTTATAGTCTAAAATAGAACTGGAGCACATTTTAGCAAATTTTAAAGCACATTTTAGCACACATTAGAGAAAGAGACCACAGAGTAAGTCACCTACAGAGTGTTCAGTGAGTTACTGAGTAGAGTGTTCACACAGCTCATACAACTAATTAATTAATTAGAATTTATTTTATTTAATTAGGATTTTAAATTCCTGTTTAAATAGAGGATGTGTTCCTGTGAAATATAGATGTGTTTGGGAGTTGAAAGTTCCACTTGCTACCCCCAGTGCCTGTTGTGTGTATTAATTACAACAGTGGTTGACACCTCTTCCTTGTAGATGCTGATCCTGGAATGGGGGCCTCTCTTTTGATAAAAGTCTCTTAGCTGTCACTTTAAAAATCTGGTGTCTTGTTCAGGTTTTTGAGGTTTAAAAGCACCGTGGCTTGTGCCATATTGTGTTCCACCAAGTGCAGAAGGAAGCTTAGCTGAGCACACCAAATAGAAGCAGTTGGTTATGGCATCATGACCACAAAGAAATGTGGAACTACCTTACACCAGACAGCGCTTCCTTTCAGCATGGGGAGTGTGGGGTTTTACTTTCTTGAGAAGTAGGTGTTTGTGTTTGAGCTTTATGATTTATTCCTAATTTGCTGCTCCCAGCCCTCGTGTTCTGCTCCTCTTCATCCACGTGTGATGCGCATTGTCTTCCTATCAAGCGGCTTGTTATGGAGAAAATTGTAACAAATAGCGTCTCTAGGGGATAGGTGAGGCTGCAAAATAAATAAAAAACGCTTGTAAGTGGCTGGAGCTGGTGCTGTTTGTCAGAGCTACCTGCCCTTAGTGACAGCTCCAGCTCCTTGCACTCCCTGAGCCGTGTGAACGCTGAGCTGGGCAGTCTGGAAGTGGTTACACCACAGGAGCACAGATGAAATTTCCTGTCCTGTGGTTTAGAAACTTTGCATTTTGTACACGCCACGACTTTTACTCCGGGAGAAGCTGCCAAATCCAGGGTTACACCACCTTGCACAGAGCTTTCAGCTGCCTGGTGGTGACACAGCTGACAGGGCTGACACTTCGGTTGCGTCATGCTCTGAATCTCTCTTAGTCTTTGCCTAATTTTCCAACCTGATTTACCATAGAAAAGAGTAGGACTTTTTTATCAGACCCCAGCTGCTTTTGAGAAAGGGGGTTTTCAAAACAAAAATCAAACCAACCCCCCTTGAAATCCCAGACTTTGGTGTTGTGGCACCAGGAGTTATTGCATGCTCAGGTGGCTCTGTGCTGATTTTGCAGCTTGGCATTATTTTCAGTGAGGAGGAGGGGCTCGTGTGCTCTGTACCAGCTTCCTGGCTCCCAGACATGAAGGGATATTTCAGTGACAGTGCCTTTAGTGTTACAGTACTAAAGCAGGAAAAGTGCTGGCTTTGTTTCGGAGGCACAAGGGCCTGAATTCCTTTGTCAGAAGTGTAGGGAAAGGGGGATAGCAGCACACACAGCCTTGGGGTGGCAGCAATAACTGCCCTGGTCCATCTGCTCCTCGCTCAGTGCCCAGAGAGCAGAGGCTGCCGAGGAGCAGCTCAGGCAACAACAGGCTCTTGGTTCCTCCTGTTCATGGACATCTGTTGTTATTCCTGGCAAGCTGCTCCCACCATTCTTATTTTGAACTCTGGGGCTGCTTCTGTTGCTAAGAGTCCTTCCTTTCCCTCTCAGAGGCAGAGGGATATCAGGTATTGTCAAGGCTCTTTCCTTGTGGTCTGAAATGACCTGATACCCTTAATCCCAGGAGGTGCCTGGTGTTACTGTCCTCTGTTATACGTATTTCTTTTGCTGGAGGGGTTTTATTGAACTCTTTCTCTGTCCTTCCATGGTTGTAGGTACGAAGATGCCTTGGTTCTGTTGCTGACAGAGGTGTTGAATCGGATCCAGTTCAGGTATAACCAGGCACAGCTGGAGGAGCTGGATGACGAGACACTAGATGATGATGTAAGGAGCACAGTTGAACAACAACTAAGCTGCAGGTCCACATGTTAACTCTTGCACTGTTAGCACCTGGAATGTCTTTCCCAGACCTTGTACTTTGGAGTACAAAGCCACACGGCCACTTCTTCTCTCCATTGTGTGTGGGGCTTGAGGGGTAAAACAGCTTGAAATGCTTTTGACAAAAATGTGTTTAAAGTCACACTAAGATAGAACCTTTGATTTTAACTTGGTTCTGATGGGGGAGGGAAATACAAATCCTTATGTTCTGACTGTCAGAGACATTAGGTTCCATGTCTGGTTGCTGTGGAAATTAAATGATGAAATACCTCTGAGACAAAAGCTTGAACCTGTAGATATTGTTGGTGCTTTTGTTTAAGCTTATTTCTCCTAAGCTGGTGTTGGTAAAGATCATCTTAACACTGATCAATGTAAAAGTGGAGTAGGTGGCCAAATGGATGAGGCCAGAGCCCTGGAAGGACAGGTTGTGCTGCAGAACAGATGTTTGTCATCTGAGCAGTGGCTGTGCTCTGGGAGTGAGACCTTGTGCCATGTCACTCCAGGGAAACACGTGCCCAAAACACAGCTTGGCAAATTACTCTCCATCAGACGTCTCGAATCGTATCTTCAGTATCTGGGTGTCCCCAAAAGCCAGGCTCTGGCAAGGAGCTCTCTAGTCCCAAGCATCCATTAAGCCCTCCCAGTGTCCCCAGAGCTCTGTTCCCTTTGGAAGTGCTGTCCTTACCTCAGTGTCTCTCCCCGCAGCAGCAGACGGAGTGGCAGCGGTACTTGCGCCAGAGCTTGGAAGTGGTGGCCAAAGTCATGGAGCTCTTGCCAACTCATGCCTTCTCCACACTTGTAAGTACTTATCCGAGTAGTTATCCAGGCCAGGAGTCCCGTGTGAGATGAGCACCAACTGTTGGAGCTTGTTGCAAGCTGTTTGATAGATGCCTCAATGCCAAGAAAAGTAGGGAAATTTGGGGTTGGATGCAAAGCTTGGCAAGGAGAAAAAATGTTTCGTTGGATTTCTTGGTGTGCTTTGAAGAGAGTACTCCAGTGCCTGTCTAAGTCCAGCTTTCTGGACACTGAGCTCTTTAGAAAGTCCCATCTCTCAAAGTGCAAACATTTGGCAGCAGCCCCTCCCTGCTGTTTATCTTGGAGGCAGCCTGTGAATTGGGCAGATGAGTGTCATTATCAGGGTTTGAAGAGGAGTGGAATCTTTGTTTAAATGAAAGAGTAGATATAAATGCTGAAGAGAGTGCCTGGGACAATTGGGAAGTAGATCTAGTGAACATGGATAAACTCCAGCCAGTGCTGCTGTCGCTAACTTTGGCGTTGTAAAAGTTGTCTGGGTTTGTAGCATCACAACAGTTTTTGAGGAGGAGATCTTGAGGCTGTAAATGTAGTCCAAAATTCAGAGTAGTCACTGCGTTTTTGCTGGGTGAGGAGAATGGGAGGAGAAAGGGCAGTGGGATCTCAGATCAAGTGCATTAATTCTGCTGGGGATACCACACACCTTGGCCTCTGAACCGTGTTCCCAAGAAGCAGAGAAAACTGAGCTGCTGCAGAGGCAGAAGATGCCTGACCTGAAGTGCCTTTTTAATTGATATTTTTGTTTAAGAAACTAAGCACTAGAAGCTCTGAAGTAGTGAACAAAAGTAGAAAGTGCTGAGCAGGGTGGTGGCACAATGTGAGCCAGCAGGAGGCACAAACAGAGGGAGTGTTCAGGGAACATATGGGTCAGATGGAGGAGAGCATATGTGGCTTCCTTGGAGTAACACATTCACATGAGGAAAACACTGGGTTTTTAAATAGTTCCCCTTGAGCAGTTATACAAAGACACTCCACTGTTAATTAGGCACAGCGTGTTGGAAACTGGGTAGGGAGAGCTTTCCTGAGCCCTGCATTGTTCATTCTTGTTGTACTGGGTGATGTGGGAGGTTCTCAAGCAGATCACAGTGCTTTCACAGTGTCTGCAGGGCTGTGGGATGCAGGCCATCAGTAGCAAATAATTAAAACAGTGGACAGCAAGTTGCCATTACTCTGTCCCCTGATGGGCAAGGAAGGGCTGCAGCTCCTTCTGCTGATGGAGTGAACTTCCATAAAACCAACTGCCTTGAATGTGGTGACTTTTGGCTATAGAAATTAAATAGAGCCAGACTGAAAGGGCTGAAAAATGTTCTTCAGCTGAAGTATCACCAGGACCTGGCATGTTTGCTGTCACTCTTGAGTGATGGAGTTGGACTTACACTGTTCCCACAGCAGGATGCACAAGGACTGTGCTGTTTGCTCCCTTGGCTGTTTTCCCTATGGAGTTTCCGCTGATGCAGCTTGCAGCTTGCTGGCAGAATGCTGCACTGCTTCCTTTCTCTACTCTGTCAGAGGCACTGAACTCACCTTTCTGGTTGCATAGTATTTTGAGAGCTTCATTCTGAGAAGCTGATACATCCAGGTGACGTGGATTCAGCACAGACTGACTGCACTACAGACTCTGCCATTCCTCTGCTCTCTTTGGGCTGGGTTGTACATCCAGCTGTATATTCCTAGTGGTGACATGCTGTGCCCTTACTCCCACTTGTCAGACCGTTATCTTGATAGGCTGATGGCTGGTATTTGTGGGAAGAGAAGAGCTGCCACAGAGAATTGCCTTCAGGGTGGTGATCTTTGTTCTCTTGACAGCTGCCAAGACCTGGGAAGCTGCGGGATGCAGGATCAGCCCAGAGCCCCAGCAACCTGCCCTTCCTCCTAATGTCTGTGTGAAGGCTCTAGGGAGAAATCAGAAAACTCTGCTCTGACAGAGTAATCAGTAGCTGGGTGTGAACCGTCTGCCAGGCCCCCAAATCACATTTGTTTCTTGTCTCTTCTAGTTTCCGGTTCTGCAGGATAACCTGGAAGTGTATCTGGGGCTCCAGCAGTTCGTGGTCACTTCAGGGACAGGTAATAATCACTGTGCAACACTCTGCTCTTCAATCTTTGACTGATGATTGCAGAAACACTCAAGACCTCCTTTGGTGTTTCTTCTTCCATATTTCATTGAGGATCTGAGCACGTGTGGTGTGTAATGGCTCAGTAGTTAAACTCCAACAGCAGACAAAAATCTAATAATGTGATTTCCCTTTATTGGTATGGTTCTTTCCTTGTTCTAGTACTTGAAATGAAGATACCAGGTGTGTTAAGAGCAGGTGTGCAACATCAAATACTACAGCTCCTTCCTGAGAAATAAGGAAAGCAATAGTAGTGAGATCTGCATGAGGGATATTAAGATAGCTTAAAGTAATATTGAAATTTTCTAGTGTGACCAGTAAAGGAATTTGTCACGTTTTCAGTGCTGCTGCACATGGCAGAATGGCAGTTGTTGTATGAGCAGTTCTGGAAAAAATACTTCCACTTTTAGGATCATTTCAGCCCTAGGATAAGCAATGTGTAGGCTTTTAGTGCTGTGGCACCACCCTGTTCACTGCTGGATCAGGAGCAGCAGCTCAGATGCAGGTGTGGATTCAGCCCTGGGTTGTAGCACAGAATCCCAGAATGGGTCAGGCTGGAAGGGACCACAGTGGGTCACCTGCTCCAACCTCCCTGCTCAAGCAGGGTCATCCCAGAGGACCTGGCACAGGATTGTGTCCAGACAGTTTTTGGTGTTGATGGCACAAAATTGAGAGGTTGTTGCTGAAAGCTTAATCTGAGATTAAATACAGTGAGTGGAAAGAAAATCTGATTTTCTTTGAAAGGTGATGTTACAGAACATACTTGTTTTTTTAGTGAAAGTTCTGGAGTGTTTGAGCCCAGGTATCCACACCTGAGCAGCAGGAGGACTGTGTGGGCAAGAAGATTGGCAGATCTAGTTATTGGATTGTTTCTTGTACCTGAGAAATATGAAAATACATAACGTGTTTCACATCAGAAGCAAATTCACTGTTCCAAATGTGCTGCTGGATCACTGGAACTGTAGCCAGCAGAGGGAATGTGGATAACCACTTTCTCCAGGGCTGGGATCACTTCTGATGGCAGCAGATAACCAAAAAGGTTATCTGTAGGTATTAATATCATATAGAAGAAAATAAAGGTATAAAAGGCTGAAAGAGCTTGGAACATCTTTATCAGCCTTTAAAGAGGAATTTGAAGTGTTGTCAGAGCAGTTGGAATTGTCTTTCCCAGTTGGACTGTTCAGTCCCATGGACAGTGCTGCCATCTGAACTGTGACCTGCCACCAAGCTAATTTAAGAAGAATGATTGTAATGTAATTAGAATAAACTTTGCATTTCCTGTAGCTTCCTGTCCCAAAGAGCTGTAAGTATTAGTCACAAAGTTACATGGCTGTTTTTTTCTTGCACAAACGTGAATTTTCAGCGCCTAGTCAGTAGTTATTAGACAAGTGATAATTTACACTTGGGCCTTTCTGCTGCTGAACTGTGCTGTCGTTTCAGGGCACAGGCTGAACATCACTGCAGAGAACGACTGCAGGCGCCTGCACTGCTCCCTGAGGGACCTGAGCTCTCTGCTGCAGGCCGTGGGGCGCCTGGCGGAGTATTTCATCGGGGACGTGTTCGCTGCCAGGTTCAATGACGCCCTGACTGTGGTGGAGAGGTGGGTACAGGGCCTTCTGGTCCCTTCAGCAGCACAAGGAGCTCTGCAGTGTGAAAAACAAGGGCCTTTTTCTGCCTCCCCTTGTGATGGGTAGATTGAGATATGAAGAACTTGGTGGCCAGAGCCTTAATTGTAAAACCAACCTGGGCTGATCCCACAGCGTGGGCAGCAGGGGAGGGGGGGATTCTGCCCCTCTGCCCCCTCAGGTGAGACCCCTCAGCAGAGCTGCCTCCAGATATGGGGCACCAACCTCAGAAGGATGAGCTGCTGGAGTGAGTCCAGAGGAGGCACCAAGTTGATTAGAGGGATGAAGCAGCTCTGCTGAGAGGAAAGGCTGAGAGAGTTGGGATTGTTCAGCTTGGAGAAGGCTTTGGGGGTGACCTGATTGTGGCCTTCCAGGGCCTGAAGGGGGCTGACAAGAAAGATGGAGAGGGACTTGGGACAAGGCCTGGAGTGACAGGACAAGAGGGAATGGCTTCCCACTGTGAGGGTGGTGAGGCCCTGGCACAGGTTGCCCAGAGAAGCTGCCCCATCCCTGGAAGTGTTCAAAGCCAGGTTGGACAGGGCTTGGAGCAACCTGGGCTAGTGGAAGGTGTCCCTGCCCATGACAGGGGGTGGAAAGAGATGAGCTTTGAGGTCCCTTCCCACTCAGGCCATTCTATGATTCTAAGTTTCCCAAGTCCTTTATGAAAGAAATAACTAATAGGAAGGATCAAATAAAATCAGCTACTTAAAAACATTGAGGTGCTTGTTTTCCAGCATCTGCATTTGTGATGCAAAGAAATGACATGTAGAGTATGATTCCTTTAGAGTTGTATCTCTGAAAACCAAATCACTGAAAACTCTTCTGAGGGTTGGACTTGGTATTCTTAGAGGTCTTTTCCAACGTTAACAATTCTGTGATTCTTTTCTTAAATTAAAAAGACCTGTGAAAGCTGAAATGCAGACATTTTATTCTTCCCCTCCAAGAAACTTAATTAGCACACAGTTGTTAATTGCAGATTTTCAGGGCTTTACACAGCTGCCTTCATTAATTTTTTTCATTTACGTGCAGGAATATCAGACTTGTTCCATCTTATCACAGACAGTGCAATAGACTCTGAATTATTTTAAACTAAATGGTCTAAATCTTATTTGCATATTAGATAAATATAGACACAGACTGGGGAAGAGCTGCATCCAGATCAGGTGTTGAAGCTGATTTATGCATGTATATATCCAAATTATAACAATCCCTTTACGCTGCCACGTGTGTTTTCACTTCTAGGCTGGTAAAAGTGACGTTGTATGGATCCCAGATTAAACTGTACAACATTGAAACCGCAGTCCCCTCTGTGCTGAAACCTGACCTCATCGATGTGTGAGTATGGGAGACACTCTGCAAGTGATGGCACCCAAACTGGGGGCCTCTGTGGGGAGGAGAAGCATTAGAGCTCCTGAGTGTGCTGCTCTGACCCCTGGCTGGGAGCTGTTCTGTGAAACACTGCTCCAGCTGTTGGCAGCTCACCAGCAGGGCCCCTTCTTTAAACTGATGAAAGTCAAGGCTGCTGCCAGCATTTTGGACCACTGCTTCCTCTAAGGGGTGTACTCAGGTCATTTAAAGAAAAATACGTTTGTGCTGAGAGGTAACAGTGCCCATTATATTAGCTCTGAAAGCAAACTGTAAAAGCCTCATTCTTTTGCAGTGTAATTACTGATTAAATAAGTGTTACAATAGTGATATTGTAAAGAAATTGGATCCACTGTCAGTGTGTAGTTCCAGTTTATGGATTTTTTGCTACCAAAGTCAGATCTATGGCTCAGGTAAAAGATGTTTTTCCTAGTTGAGGGTTTCAAGTCCTTGGCTTCCAAGACAAGCATGTGTCTTCCAGCTGTGCAAGCCATTTCTGGGACAAATGACTGCCTGCCATCCAGACATTGATATTGTGTGAAATCTTGATGCTGGTGGTGATAGGTCACCACTAGGACAGCCTTTTAGAGACTTTCCCTTCCCAAGGCTGTGTAGCACAAACGTGTTCCCTGCCAGCTGGTGTTTTGTGGGCAGAATTGAAGGTTTGAACATGTATTCTACTTTGCAATTGCATCTATAGCAGCTCCTTGAAAACCCCACTAGATTTCATCATACCGTTCCCTGAATGTCTCCTGTTAGTCCCACGTTAATAGCACTGAATTTTATGCAGATGATGTTCTTCTAATTGTCTCTTTCCTTTCCTCGTTTAAAATAATTTGGGAGATGTTTTCCATGAGCTGTTAGCGAGGGGTTGTCATCCTTTTCTCTGCCTGATGCCCCTAAGAAACCTGTGATCCACTTTTTAGTGCTTTCTTAACAAAGGCACTTTGTCAAACATTTGGGGGACACCTGTCTGAAACATCCTGACTCGAATTTAATATGGTGATAAAAGTGTCATTATAAAGTATGGTTATAGTCAGCCTACCAGTTGATGATAATTTGACCTTATCAATTCACACCTTTGGCTCAATATTGTGGGTCAATGGTGAGCCCAGTTGCTGCACACCTTTAAATATGCCTTGAATGTACAGGTTCCAGACCAAGAAAAAAATAACAGTAAGGAATTTTTCAAGACAAAGCTTCCAGATTTGTGTGAGAGTACCCGGTGTTCGTTCCCAGCCTGCTATCAGAGCTGCCCACCATGCTTAGCACCATGCCCTTCTCTTTGTGTCCCCTTCATCCTGTGTCTCTGACTGCTGCTGTGCCTCTCCCCAGCCACGCTCAGTCCCTGGCAGCCCTGCAGGCCTATGCACATTGGCTGGCCCAGTTCTACAGCGAAGTTCACCGGCAGAACCCGGAGCAGTTCATCTCTCTGGTGTCCACGGCGCTGGAGGCCATCACCCCCCTCATCAGCTCCAAGGTACTGCTGCCACTGGGCTGCCACCTGCAGCAGGTGACCCACAAGTGCTCAGGTCTGCTCTGGACCACTCTGGGGCTCTGGGGGTGGGTCTGAGAGAGACACAGCAAATGTCTCGTAGGGTGAGACCAGGAGCAGTTCTGAATAACACTGTGCGTCAAACTAATCAAGAATAAGCAATTTACAGGCTTATAAACTAATGATTTTTTGGCTTGAAAGCAAGGAAATCTCTATTTCATGGTGTTAAGGGAACTGGCTTTCACTCTAATTGATAAATAAATCATAGAAGCATGGAATTGTTTAGGTTGGAAAGGCCCTCCAAGACTGAATCTAGCTGTTCCCCCAGCACTGCCAAGGCCACCACTAAACCATTTCCCCAGGTGCCACATCCATATGCTGTTAAATTCCTCCAGGGTTGGGAACTGCAACACTGCCCTGGGCAGCCTGTTCAAATGCCTGACCACCCTTTCCATGATGAAATTTTCCCAGTATCCAACCGAAAGCTCCCCTGACACAACTTGAGGCTGTTTCCTTTCACTCTGTCCCTCGTTCCCTGGGAGCAGAGCCCGACCCCCGCCTGGCTCCCCCCTCCTGGTCCTGGCAGCCCTGGTCCTGTGTGCCATTGGTTCTGGGTGGAGTGTTACTGGGCAGCCTGAGCACCCTGTCTCTCTCAGGTGCAGGAGAAGCTGCTGCTCTCTGCGTGTCACCTGCTCGTCTCTTTGGCCACCACGGTGCGCCCGGTGTTCCTCATCAGCATCCCAGCAGTGCAGAAGGTCTTCAACAGGATCACAGACACTTCTGCCCAACGCCTCCCAGACAAGGTGGGTTGTCTCAGGCATGTCTCAGTGTACACCAGGTGTCCTTGGGAGGCTGTGCCTCAGCTCTTACTGTAGCAAGATATAACCTCAAAAAGTTTGGAGGGGCAGCAATTCTCTCAGTATTGTGGATACCCGGTGATGCTGTTTGTAATTAATGATCTATTTCAAGCAACAGCATAAGTTAAAAATGCAATTGCACCTCTTAGATCTGATTCCTTTCTCACTTGCTGACACAGTCCCTGATTCTGCATCATTTTTACAGTACAGGCACATTGATTCTGACCTACAGGAAGAGTTTTCTGTGAAACAATAGGTTAGCACTCCACATGCCTCACTCCAAGTTACTCAAAGTACTACAGTTACTCCAAGTACTATAAATGGAATATACTTAGAGTATTTATATTACTTCTGTAATATAAATACTATAAATATATTCTGCTTATAGTACTAAAAAGCCACAGTGGAGGCTGGGATATGGTTGTATTGTGTGCTAGCAAGGAAGCATAAAGTACTGTACAAGTGAAGAAGCTCAGTGTGTAAACCAGACAAGAAGAAACGAAAGTAGAATCATCTTTGGTTTTATAAAGAACAGAGACTTAATGTATCAGAGAAGGTCTGGCAGAGCTGGGAGCTGGTTCCAGGCCTTAAATACTGGAGTTTTGCTTCTTCCTTACCTTGCAGAGCTGTTAGTTTTCACTTGGGCTCACCTGCTCTGAACTCTTTCCTCAAACAGCGAGCACTGCTGATGTGTCAAACAGCTGTAAAATGTCACTTCACTCTGGGGTTGTGCTCTAACGAAAGTTAAATTGCAGACATGGTAAAAGTCTTTGCTTAATGTTGCCCAGAGAAGCTGTGGCTGCCCCATCCCTGGAAGTGTTCAAGGCCGGGTTGGACGGGGCTTGGAGCAACCTGGGCTAGTGGAAGGTGTCCCTGCCCGTGGCAGGGGGTGGAATGAGATCAGAGAATCACAGAATATCCTGAGTTGGAAGGGACCCATAAGGATCATCGAGTCCAACTCCTGGCCCTGCACAGGACACCCCAGCAGTCCTACCCTGTCCCACCCGTTGTCCAAACCCTCCTGGAGCTCTGGCAGCCTTGGTGCTGTGCCCACTGCCCTGGGGAGCCTGGTCAGTGCCCAACCACCCTCTGGGGGAAGAACCTTTTCCTGAGATCCAGCCTGACCCTGCCCTGACACAGCTCCAGCCATTCCCTGGGTGCTGTCCCTGGTCCCCCCAGAGCAGAGCTCAGTCCCTGCCCCTCCTCTGCCCCTGCCCAGGCAGTTGGAACTGCAGTGAGGTCTCCCCTCAGTCTCCTCTTCTCCAGCTGAACACACCAAGTGCCCTCAGTGTCCTCACACGGCTTCAAATCAAGGCCCTTCCCCATCTTCTTAAATGAGCTTTAATGTCCCTCCCAGCCCAAACCAGCGTGTGATCCCAATCTCTGGTCCCTCCCAGGCCCAGGTGTTGGTGTGCAGAGCCCTGTCCAACGTGCTGCTGCTGCCCTGGCCCAACCTGCCCGAGGGGGAGCAGCAGTGGGCCGTGCGCTCCACCAACCACGCCAGCCTCGTCTCGGCCCTCACCAGGGAGTACCGGCAGCTCAAGGCCACGGCCATCCTGCCCCAGAGGAAAGTGCAGCTGGAGGACAGTGAGTACCTCGTGTCCTGGCAGCTGCAGTGTGAGCAGCACAATAGCTCCTCAATAAGCTCATTTTCCGATAATTATTGCCGAGAAACTTTCTAGCCTGTGGGGAGGGTGGGAAAGGAGCAACTGGTGTTTTCTTCCTATTTTTGGAGGTTTTTCTGCTGTGTGAAGGGCCCGGGTTGCTTGTAAACTCTTCCATCAAAGTACTGTCTTCCCAGGGAAGGTGGAATCAAATTGGGGGTAAAACTTTAAATAGCAGGGATTGCATCAGGAGTACTGAACAGCCTAATGCTGGGAGGTTGTAGTAGTAGAAAGATTGGCTGGAAACAGCATTAACGAAGATCATGGTTATAAAAACTGAAGAGGGCAAATAAGAATTTCTTCGGGACTTGGGAAGTAATGTAGAGGGTTTGTATATGTAGGAGGAGAGCTCTGAACTGATGGGGTGCAGAGAAACTTCTGTCTATGTTTTGGAACTGGTTTGGGGCATATCTTTTGGGGGTTTTTTAATTGAGGGTCACTTTGAAAATTAGTTAGAAATGTGCAGTGTCACGTGTGTGAACCTCTTACCCCTGAGTAGTTTTGGCACATACAAGAAGTATCAATTCTCTTGTTTTGCAGCCAAAGTGATCATCCATCAGACACTCAGCGTTCTGGAAGATATTGTAGAAAGCATCTCCGGAGAGTCCACCAAGTCCCGCCAGATCTGTTATCAGTCGCTGCAAGAATCCGTGCAGGTCTCACTAGCCCTCTTCCCAGCTTTCATTCATCAGTCAGGTATAACCACAGGCCAGGTTTCATGCTGTGAGTAGCTCTCTGACCCCCTGATCACACCCAGAGCAGCAGCTCAGAGTCGTGGTGTTTTTGTGAAGTGTGTGGACTTGCTGTGCCTGGATGTGCTGTGAGGCTGTGCTGGGTGGACTGGGCTGAACCACAAAAGGGAAGGGAGATCTCTGCCAGCAGGAAAGATGGTCACACAATTCCAGAAGATGGAGATGATCATGAGCACAAAAATAAGCTTTAAAATACTCTGGCTGTGTTTGCCATTTACGTTCTCTCCAGAAGCTTGAAGACAAAGAGGAATAGATCTCGTCAGATTAGGTCAAATGATGTGGGGTTTGGGGATTCTTTTTCCCCGAGATGGAACCAGGACTGTCACTTGGGAACCTTCTTCTGGCCAGCAGTTTACATTCTGTATCACATCAGGGTGCTTGTCTCATGACGAGCAAGGTGTTCCAGGAAAACTTTTGGAGTTGGGTGGGATTTTCTCAGTGAAGCAGCTGTGGAGGAGGAAAGGAAGCGCAGAGAGGATCCAAGGCAGCCAAGCTGATGCTGTGACTCCAGTGACCTGTTGCCTTCAGAACAGGCTGGCAGCCTCATCAGTGGCTGTTTATTGGCTGTCAAAGGCTGTATGATGAATGAGGAGCTGAGCAGCTCCAGCTTGCCATGGTTATTCCATCTTTCTTGGGACTGGTGAGGGGTCAGCTGGGTGCTGATCAGCTCACTGCATAACCACGTGCTCAAAGATGACTTCTGAAGCTGAACAGCCTTTTCAGTTCCTGCCAAAAAAAGATTCTGTCTCCTCCACCCCAAGCTGTGTGGATGTTTTGGATTTCCTGGTGTTTCCTGTTAACCCTGTAAAACCAGTAAGCAACCAGAGATGGGCCCATGAGCTCTCTCCAAGCAGTCTGTGTAGGCAGAGCACACTAAGGGCCTTGCTGGCAGTGTTGGGTTTGTTCTGAGGTGTTTGGTGCTGCCTGTACTTGTCATCCCTGGCAGGTTTTGGAAGTGGATGAACAATTTTTAAGCCCTGTAGTGCTGTGGGTGTCAGTTCCTAAGACAACCCTGGTGGTAAATTCCCGAGTAAATGAGGTTCCCTGAACAGGAGGAGCAAACTTAAGGCATACATAAAAGACTTAAACATAAAAGACTTATTGATGCACTCAAATGTTCCCTTAACATGCACTTTTTGCTTTCCTGTTCTTATCTTAGATGTGACAGATGAGATGCTGAGCTTCTTCCTTACCCTTTTCCAAGGCCTGAGGGTGCAGATGGGAGTGCCTTTCACTGAGCAGATCATACAGACCTTCCTGAACATGTTCACCAGGTATTGTCCAACATTGGTCACTTCTTTCTTACCCCTCAGGTTGATTCATCTTCATAAGCTGCTCACACAGAGTCCTTGTCCCTAAAGAGTGTGCTGTTTCCAACCTTTGTGTCCGGACTTTTGTCATGTCTCAGGACTAAATCTGAGGAGAACATTTCCAAGTCATAAGTGACCCAGCATATGCACATCAATCAATTGCCATTGTGCAATTCCAGCTTTCCCGTGGACTTTCTGGCAGTGTGGGATATTGAACTGGACTGTCACGTTCCCTATTAGCTCCTGCCCAAGATCTGAGGGTGCCCCATCACTTGAGCATTTTTCGGGGTGTGGAGTCGGTCAGTCTTCAGTCACAACCTATCTCCCTTCTGTGGCTTAATATACTTGGCCTGTATTAATTGAGCAGATTTAGAGGCATTACGTGTTTTCCAGTAAATCAGGTGAGCACACAGATCTCTGGGAAGGCTCCTAATGACTGTTTGTTGTCCCAGGGAGCAGCTGGCAGAGAGCATCCTCCACGAGGGCAGCACCGGCTGCCGGGTGGTGGAGAAGTTCCTGAAGATACTGCAAGTGGTGGTGCAAGAGCCAGGCCAAGTGTTCAAGCCTTTCCTGCCCAGTGTCATCTCACTGTGCATGGAGCAGGTGTATCCCATCATTGCAGAGGTAGGGCTGCCCTCACAGGAGAGGGAAGGGGGAATGGGAAGGGAAGGCATTGCTGAGGAGTGGCAGCAATGAAGCTTTGGCTTTCCAAGAGCTGTAAATGTCAGTGCCTGTGGAGGAAAACTGGGTGAGAAGTCAGTGAGAGCTGGAAGCCGTGTGGGTGGAGGATTTTGTTAGGACTTGTCAAGAAAGGCTAAAATTATAGAGATGGTCAAAACAAGAGGTAAAACTCAAAACTCAGCATGATCCTACAGCTGCTGAATTTGGTGCTTCCTTTGGCTGCCAAGCAAGCCCTGGATGTGGGTCCTTTGGCAGTGGGATCCGGGGGATGAGTGGGATTCCAGCCCAGGAGCCTACTTTGAATTGTGTTCCCCTCTCCTCCCAGCGCTCATCTCCTGATGTGAAAGCAGAGCTGTTTGAGCTGCTTTTCCGGGTCCTGCACCACAACTGGCGGTACTTCTTCAAATCCAGTGTGCTGGCCAGTGTCCAGAGGGGAGTGGCAGAGGAGCAGATGGAGAACGAAGCCCAGTTCAGTGCCATCATGCAGGTAACTCACCTCTCCCCACCAGAACCCTTCCTGCAGTGGAGCACGCAGGACTTGTGGCAGTGCATTAAACGTGGAATCACAGAATCCTTTGGGATGGAAAAGCCCTCTGAGATCGAGTCCAACCATTCCCCCAGCACTGCCAAGGCCACCACTAACCCACGTCCCCAAGTGCCACATCCACACGGCTTTTAAACCCCTCCAGGGATGAGGACTCCACCTCTGCCCTGGGCAGCTGTGCCAGGGCTGGACAGCCCTTTTTCCAAAGAAATTTTCCCAATACCCAATTTAAACCTCCCCTGGCACAACTTGAGGCTGTTTCCTCTCCTCCTGTGCCTTGTTCCCTGGGAGCAGAGCCCGACCCCCCTGGCTCCCCACTCCTGTCAGGGAGTTGCAGAGAGTGGGAAGGGTTTTTCACCTGTAGTTGTGTAACTCTTCCAAACTCACGTGGATGTCTCATTTTGGGAGATACTTATATAATAGTCTCAGTATTAACTTCAGGCTGGTTGACAATACTGAACTACTTGTTTTATTACTTGGCTCTTGTTGGTTTGATACAAAACTCTTATTTAATGTTCTGTAAGTGTTCTCCACACAGTCAGTGGTTTGTGTGAAGGATATTAATACTTTGTGTGCTGGTTTCCACACGAGTTCTGAGGGCAGAACTGGCTCATTCTTAAAGGGGACTTGGGCCATTTTTATTCATTTGACAATAAATGGCTGGTTTGGGGGAATAAACTCTTGTGATACCTTGAAGAGGAATTATTAAAATTCTGCTGCCTGTCTCTGTACAGAGCTGACTTCATCTGCTTACATCACCTGTACAGTGTTTTGGAGGTGTTTAGGGTGTAAAAGATGTTTTATTTCACACTGTGCAGCCCTGCCAGGTTAGTTCAGGGTCCAGCAAATTTTGTTCCTGGGTTCTTTACTGCTTCAGTCATGCCCAATTCAGCCTCCCAGGTCCCATCTCTAAATTCTTTCTAGTGTAGGGCAGTGACATCTGCCAGTCACCTTGGTCATATGACTGGGATTGAGGACCCAACCTGTGCATGTGTCCTGGTTTATTCACTTTTGGTAGCATCCCTGAGAAAGAGCCCCATGCTTCAGGAGCAGCCTGCCTGCTGAGGGAGCTGGGCTCAGCATCCCTGTCCCTCTCAGTGCCAGCTTGGCCTGCCTGTTCCCCATGCACTCATCTTAGCAGCTGCTCTGCAGGGATGTGACCATGTTCCCACTAAAATTCCCATTGATCTGGCAGTGGCACAGTTGACTTGAACAACTGCCTGTGTTGTTATTTTGCTGCACTGAGGCTCCCAGGGGTTTGTTCTGGTGTCAGGGTGAAAATGATGTTGTTCTGCATGGCATGTCTGATGTTTGCTGTAATACCAATCCCTTTCCTTCAACTCTGCTTTGTTCCCAGGCCTTTGGCCAGTCCTTCCTGCAGCCTGACATTCACCTGTTCAAGCAAAACCTCTTCTACTTGGAGACGCTGAACACGAAGCAGAAGCTGTACCATAAGGTGGGTCCTGCCTGACTTCTGTGCATGGAAATAGGTGGGTGTTGTTCTGGGGCTTGTTTTAAACCACTCAGAAACTGCAGGTCAGGATTTGATGGCTTTTGTGCCACGGCCTTTGGGTGCTTGCCATGCTCTGGATGGTGGGAGTGGTGGTACCACCTCCCTGATCTTGTGCGGGAGGCACGGGAGGGATCCCAGCTCTTGTCATAGTAAAGCCTTGATGTGTGTCCTCCTGTGACAGTGAGAGAAAGCAGAGAACACGCAGTGACAGTCTGGGAAAGTAGGAATTGGGGTCATCAGTGGGATAGTGGACAAGTCCCTCCAACTATCCCATCTGGGACAGGGTATCCAGTACTCACAGGCACAGGTGGGTGTCTCCATCACTGCCAGGCAGGACCAGCCTCCAGCCCCTCTAAGCTGTTAGCTGCTGTCATGAGGGATTACAGGAGGAATCCAGGGAATCTGGTTAGCCTGTGAAAGGAGAGCTTTCAGTGTCCATCTGTGGTCACAGCTGAAGGACAGCCCTTCATGTTCACAGGTGCCTGGAGCAGAATTCCAGGCAGCTGGCCACATTCCCTGGCTCTGGGGAGGAATACAGCTGGCTGGAGGTGGAATGGGACTTGATGCTGATGGCTTTAGCAATACTTAAAACTTGGGTCAGAGCATAAAATCCCAAAGTGGTTTGGGTTGGAAGAGACCTTAAAGCTTATCCAGTTCCACTCTCCTGCCATGGGCAGGGACACCTTCCACTAGCCCAGGTTGCTCCAAGCCCCATCCAACCTGGCCTTGGGCACTTCCAGGGATGGGGCAGCCACAGCTTCTCTGGGCAACCTGTGCCAGGGCCTCCCCACCCTCACAGGGAAGGATTTCTTCCTAATATCCCATCTAACTCTGCCCTGTGTCAGTGGGAAGCCATTCCTGTCTCTCCTGTCCCTTGTCCTGTCCCCTCCAGGCCCTTGTCCCAAGTCCCTCTCCAGCTCTCTTGAAGCCCCTTTAGGCCCTGGAAGGGACTTTCAAGTCCCAAAGCATGAGGTAAGTGTGGCCAAATTAATGTTTAACTTTAAATCTGATGTTAATTTGCCTTATTTTAGCCATTTTTGATCTGGCTTGGCTTGGAAGATAACCTCAGTGCTCACGGGAGTTTACAGAGCCCATGGGTGCAGTCACGCCCGGTCTGTCCTTGCCGGATTTGTCCTTCTGGCTGCCCTGGTCCCTCCCGTGGGAGCAGTGAAGTCTCCTGACCATGTGCCTCTCTCCCTGTGCAGAAGATCTTCCGGACGACGATGCTGTTCCAGTTTGTGAACGTGCTGCTCCAGGTGCTGGTGCACAAGTCCCACGACCTGCTGCAGGAGGAGATCGGCATCGCCACCTACAACATGGCCTCGGTGGACTTCGACGGCTTCTACTCCGCCTTCCTGCCCGAGTTCCTGGCCAGCTGTGATGGGGTGGACTCCAACCAGAAGAACGTGCTGGGAAGGAATTTCAAAATGGACAGGGTAAGAAGGGGAACACTGATATTCCCAGGATGCACAGTTTTCCCCCCAGAACGCGCCGGTGGAACGTCTCCAGGCGGAGTTTTTCCAGGCAGTACCTTTTGTTCCAAACATTCCCACGCTCAGCAATCCCCAGCCAAGGATTTCTCACTGTAGGTAGCAGCACTGCCACGTCATCTCTCAGACTGCTGGATGCTGTAGGAGTTAGGGAATATGTTTCCTGGAAGAAGTTTTAATAGGGGTAGACTGACATTTTCCAGAGTGGGACACTCGGATCCTTGCCAAAATCTTGCTCCAACTGCTGGCCAGATGGGTTACAGTAAGGACAACAGCAGAATAGCTGCAATGGCTCACAATCCTTGAAACCCCTTGTGTGTGGGAATCAAATGGGGGGGTCTTTAACCTCCCTTGGGAATATCGTGGCAAACCAGCGGGCCGTGGCTTCCATCTGCTGAGGCTTGTCTATTGAGTGATTCCTCTTCTGAGGGAGATAATGGGGATTTAAGACCAAGGGTGAGGGTAGGAAAGGAGCCTTGGGAGAATTACTGGCCTCTAGAAGGCAATTGCACTTCAGGGAAATCAGCCCTTGGTAAGGGAGTATGTGGCCCCCAGGAGCCTTGGCAGAAGGGCAGCAAGGAATTACTGCTGGAAGAGCTGGGAGTGTTCAGCCTGGAGAAGAGAAGGCTCCAGGGAGACCTTGGAGCCCCTTCCAGTGCCTAAAGGGGCTCCAAGAGAGCTGGAGAGGGACTTGGGACAAGGGCCTGGAGAGACAGGCCAAGGGACAGTGGCTTCCCACTTCCAGAGGGCAGAGTTAGATGGGATATTGGGAAGGAATTGTTGGCTGTGAGGGTGGTGAGGCCCTGGCACAGGTTGCCCAGAGAAGCTGTGGCTGCCCCATCCCTGGAAGTGTCCAAGGCCAGGTTGGACAGGGCTTGGAGCAACCTGGGCTAGTGGAAGGTGTCCCTGCCCATGGCAGGGGGTGGAACTGGATGAGCTTTAAGGTCCTTCCAACCCAAACCATTCTGGGGTTCTGACCATACCTGTTGAGCCTGAGTGCATGCTCATAAGCCAGTGCTAGGAACAAGGCCTGGATCCTGCAGCCAGCTCTGCATGGAGCAGCTCTGGAGCCATCTCTGCTCCCTGTACATGGGCTGCAGAAAGCAGAATTCCCTGGGCTCAGGCTGCAGAGGAATGGATCAGTTCTCGTGTGTGAACACACACCTGGGTGTTTGGCCCTCCCAGTCTCCTTCTGTTCTCACTGTCATGTTACTCTGCTGTACCAGGTGCTGTCTGTTCTCTTCCAGGACCTGCCCTCGTTCACACAGAACGTGCACAGGCTGGTGAACGACCTGCGCTACTACAGACTCTGCAATGACAGTTTGCCCCCTGGAACTGTGAAGTTATAGTTGCTGCACTGGACTCCTCTTCCACCACTGTAGGGAACGGATCCATGTTTCGGTTTGCCACCACCCCCTCTCCTCCCGGGATTTGTCAGTGCTGCAGGACATGGGGTCCTGCCCATGGCCACGCCCTGGATTCACACACCACGCTTCCTTTTAGTTCTCCTTTCCCAGCCCAAAGGCCCTCAGCTGGAGTCAGCAGGATGTGTCTTAACGCCCACTCGTGGGGCATCCCAACCGTTGGAAAACCCTCTCCCGGGGCTTTCCTTCTGCTATAACGTAGCACTTTGTTGCGTCCGGAGATTTCTGTGGAGTTGTCTTGAGAGATCATGTCGGTATCAAACACGAGGCAGAAGCGCCAAAGACTAACTTCAGACATTCATACCTTCGTGTCATTCCACCTCCCTGCCCTGCCCAGCTTTCAGAGGAGGAGTCTCCTGATGTTGGGACTGGTTTGGCACTTCTGTCACTCCCTTTGTTTTTAAATTGCCTTGAAAACCTCCCCGATGTTTTCGGGGGTTAGAGACTTTTTTTTGGTTTTTTTAAACATTTTCTCATCATTCCATTGTGATACTAAAACGACATGCTTAATGGGAATAAAGTGCTTACTTTGTTGTTTTAAATACTTGGGACTGGTTAGTTTCCCTCTAGGCCATTCTGTTAAAGCTTTGTGATGCAGGCAATGATCCACAGCCTTTCCCAGGATCAGTAGTAAGGAGCAGCATCCTGTCCAGTCTCCCAGCAAGTCCAGCAGCTCCTGGAAGGTGCAGATTAATGATAGCTTCTTCCTCCTCTCTCCTTCATCACAGAATTTCAGAATGGTTTGAGTTAGAAGGGACCTTAAAAACAATCTCATTCCAAGCCCCCGTTCACACAGTGCCTGTGTTCCCTGGTGTTTTCTGTCACACTTTGGGCTGATCCATTCGTTCCCTCCAGCAGACTGTTGTCTGCATCGGTCGTGAAGTGCCTGCAGGAAGAAATCTCCCCACATTCCCAGTGATCACAGGAACTCATAGCTGAAGGCCAGCAGCTGGCCACTCAGTGATCCTGTAGTGGCATCTGAGCAATCCAGTGGCCAGACAGGCAGGACCAGATTTTGTGGAGCTTGTGGATCCCTGATCATGCAGCTGGGAAGGATTTCTTTTCCCTGCAGTCTCTAGTCAGGTATTCAGCAGTATTCAGTCGGTCTTCATTTTTAAATTTAATAGATGAAATTGGAGAGGGACTTTTCACAAAGGCCTGGAGTGACAAGGACAAGAGGGAATGGCCTGAAGCTAAAGGAGGGCAGGGTTAGATGGGATGTTGGGGAGAAATTCTTCCCTTTGAGGGTGGGAGGCCCTGGCACAGGTTGCCCAGAGAAGCTGTGGCTGCCCCACCCCTGGAAGTGTCCAAGGCCAGGTTGGATGGGGCTTGGATTCACCTGGGCTAGTGGAAGGTGTCCCTGCCCATGGCAGGGGATGGAATGAGATGAGCTTTAAGGTCCCTTCCAACCCAAACCATTCCATGAGTCTGTGAAATCAGTCTTAATTCCCTGTGGTTAATGGGCAGCTGCAGCTGGGGCTGCATCGTGGGAACAGCACCAGTTACTGGGAGGGGAGTGCAGCTGGAAGAAGTGGATCACATTTGGAGATGTGAATGTGAGATGACTGCCTCTGAAAAGCTGTGAGGTCCAGAGGGTGAGTTGGAGTGTAGCACCATTTACCCCATGGTTCCTCTAGTTAGTTTTGTGGAAAACACCTTTCCCTGTGCATGTTTGCTCTTGGGAGATAATGGGTGCTGTTTGGATGACCTGTGCAGAGCCCTCCATCCAGGCTCTGAACTGGGACCAGTTGGATGTTTGGGCTCCCTACCCTGCCACGGGCAGGTGAAGCAGAGTCCAGCTTGGCCAGGATGTGCCTCAGCTGGTACAGCCCGTGCAAGTGAGGACTGAGGTGTGGGTGGTGATCTGCTCCCAGCCTTCCCTGAGCTCCCTGCCAGCCACACCTGTCCCTGAGTACTTGGAGGAACTCAGTGCCACTATCTCCACATGTGCCCTCCCAGGCTCTGACAGGGTCTCTGGCCCCCCACTTCCTTCAGCTTTAGGAAGCAGGCTTGAAGCAAACTTCCATGACCTTGTCAAGCTGCTCTCCTGTGAGGTGTCTCTGGAGTTTGGGATGCAGGGGAAGCTCAATACAAAGTGATTTCCCAGTATGGGGGCTGAGATGGGGCTTGGAGAACTGAACAGAGGGGCTCCCATCTGGGCAGTGCCTCTGTCCCCCATGGCTTTAACACCCCTTTCCCAGCACCCACTCCATGTCCAGGGCAGCCCTGTGTCCCACAGAGGGGGCACACTGGCCTGGGTGCTCCACACTGTGCCTCTTCCACTGGGGTGGGGCATTCCTTGTGCCCCAGCTCAGGCTGGCGTGGGCTAACCAGGACTCTCCTTGCCTGGACACCGGGGGCGGCAGGTCTGGGTCTTGGCAGGGTCTGGGTCCTCCCGGCATGGATTTAGGCTCTGCTCCCACCAGGCTTGAGATTCCAAAGCGGGATGCTCCGGACCGGAGAGATTCCCCAGACCGGAGAGATTCCCCGGACCGGGATGCTCTGGACCGAGAGGATGCTCCGTGCCGGGATGCCCCTGTCCGGGATTTCCCGTGCAGGCGCGGAGGCCGCCCGGCCCCGGCGGCTGCTTTAAGGGGAGGGACGGAAGCCTGACCCGTCCCTGGGCTCGGCCGGGCCCCGCCGCGGCAGGTCCGACCGCCGGGCCCGCCATGGGCTCCCTGGGCCGCTGCCTGGCCCGGAGCCTCCCGCGGGGGCAGCCGGGCCTGAGGCCCCCCGGGCCCCGCTGCTACGGCTCCGGTGAGACACGGCCCCGTCCCTGTCCTGCCCCTGGGGACACGGTCCCGTCCCTTGGGACCCTGTCCCTCTTCTTTTCCAGAGGACCCCATCCTCCCTTGCGGATCCTGCCCTGTCCCTGGGGACCCTGTCCCCATCCTCATCCTGTCCTGGGGATCCAGTCCCCGTCCCTGTCGTGCCCTGGAGACCTGGTCCCTGTCCTATTCTGGGGGACTCTGTCCCCATCCTCATCCTGCCCTAGGGATCCGGTTTCTGTCCCTGTCCTACCTCGGGGGACCCAGTCCCCATCCCTGCCCTGTCCCAATCCCTATATTCCCTTCAGCCCCTTCCCTATCCTGCCCCTGGGGACCCACTCCTGATCCCTGTCCTGCCCCTGGGGACCCTGTCCTGTCCCCTCCTGTTCCCAGTCTGTCCTGCCCCTCGGGGCTCCTGTCCCCTCCTGCCCCCGGTGGCCCATCCCTTCCCGGTGCTCCCGATCCCTCCATCCTGGCCGGGTCCCAGCCCGCGGGGTCCTTCACTCCTCTGTGGTGTGAGTCGGTGCCAGGGTCTCCTACCCCATCCCCGTGTGCCAGTGCGGGGCAGAGGCCAGAGCTCGCTGCTCCCTGAAGGTCCCAAGGGGTTCGATGTCCCCGGGGCTGTGATGGAGGGACCCCGGAGCTGTCCTGAGGGGACGGGGCAGGATCCCGGCAAAGCAGGATGTCCAGCAATGCCCAGAAAAGGGGGTGAATTTTCGGGGTGGTTTGTCTCACTCTGCCCCCGCCAGCACCGGGGCTACCCAGCCCTGCAGCCCAGGATGGGAACCCGAAGGCTGGGGCTGATGGTGAAATGCCCCGGCTTGGCGTCCTTTCTCCCTCTCCCTTCCTCTCCTTCCTGTCCCCTCTGTCCCTTCAGCGGACAGGATGCACTGTCCCTTGGGGCACTTCTGTCCCCTCCTGCAGCGCAGCTGTGGCAGGGCCCGCGGTGCAGTCAGACCCTGCCGCCCCGCAGTGCCGTGGGTGAGAGCGATGCCAGACCCCTCCATCCCACGGTGCTCGGTTTTGCTCTCCACCAGTGGACGCCGTGACCAGGGACCCTCCGGGCTGGGGAAGGACCCGGGCAGGAGGCAGGGTGGCACCCGCAGCCCCGGCCCCGGGACACGGCAGTGCGGAGCCATCAGCCAAAACCAGAGACAACACTGGGCCAAAGGGTGTTTCCTGGCTGGGGACACATCCCCAGCACCCATCAGGGCTTTGTGGCACGTCCCTTGGGTCCCTGCTGGGACCCCGCCGGCCTGAGAGGCACAGCTCGGCCAGAGGCCGCGCCCGCGATGGGATGGGGACGGGGATGGGGACGGGGATGGGGACACGGACGGGGATGGGGACACGGACGGGGATGGGTTCCCATCGGCAGCCGCTGGGACCCAGCACAACCCGTGGTGCCGCGGGGGCGTTTTGGGGTCCTGCTGTGCACAGCCTGTGCCGGCCCCGTGTCCCGCGGAGGTAACGCTGCCCCTCGGTCCGCGCAGCCCCCCCGGAGCTGCGGGAGAAGACGCTGGTCCTGGCCAAGCCGGACGCGGTGCAGCGGCGGCTCGTGGGGAACATCATCCAGCGCTTCGAGCGCCGCGGCTTCAGACTGGTGGCCATGAAGCTGCTCCAGGTACCCGCTCCTGCAGGGAATGCCGCTCCACGGCCGGCCGGGGAGTGCCGGGGGGGGTGTCCCCACTGTCACCCCCCACTCCCGTCAGGTGGACCAGGGGCTCGTGGACAGGCACTACCAGGAGCTGCGGCACAAGCCCTTCTACCCTGCACTCGTCACCTACATGACCTCGGGGCCGGTGGTGGCCATGGTGAGGGGCCAGGCCGGGGGGCTCGGGGGTCCCGGGGGGCACGGAGGGCTCAGCTGTCCCTGTCCCGCAGGTGTGGGAGGGCTACAACGTGGTCAGGTCCACGCGGGCCATGGTTGGGGACACCGACTCCGTGGGGACCATCCGGGGGGATCTCAGTGTGCACATCAGCAGGTAGGGCGGGGGGGATGGTGGTGGGACCCCATGGCCGTGGCACTGTCCCCATCCCTGTCCCCTCCCAGGAACGTCGTCCATGCCAGTGACTCCGTGGAGACGGCCCAGAGGGAGATCGGCTTCTGGTTCCAGCGGGACGAGCTGGTGGACTGGGAGAGCAGAGACAGGGACCACACCTACGGGCCCTAGGGATGGACCCCCGCGCGTGGACACCCCCAATAAACCCCCGTGCCTCCAGCCCTGGCTCCCGTCTCATCCCTCAGATGCCATCAGCAAGTACTGGGGGGCTCTGAGGGGTACTGAGGTGGTACTGGGAAGCTCTGGGAAGTGCTGGGATGTCACTGGGAAGTGCTGGACTGTCCCTGGGGGGCACTGGGGTAGCACTGGGAAATCCCTGTAGAGGCACTGGGGTGTCCCCAGGAGGAGTGGGGTGATACTGAGAAATTCTGTGAGGCACCACGGTGTCCTCAGAGGGCACAGGGTTGGTACTGGGAAGTTCTGGGAGCCACTGGGATATCACTGGGAGACTGGGGCGATTCTGGGAAGCTCTGGGATACACTGAGGTAACACCAGAGGGCACTGGGGTGTTACAGAAAAACTCCGGGAGGCACTGGGCTGTTCCCGTTGGGCACTGGGGTGTTACTGGGAGGCTCTGGGCGGCACTGGTGGGCTGCAGTAGCTTCTGTAGGTCGCTGGAAGAGACTGGGACAGGGGGGGCTGGGCTGTCAAGGGACACCGGGACACCACTGGGTGGCACTGGGAAACACTGGGATACCACTGTGATGTACTAGGACACCACTGGGACACCACTGGGATGTACTGGGACACCACTGGGAAACACTGGGACACCACTGAGATGTACTGGGAAGCAACTGGGAGCACTGGAACACCACTGGGATGTACTGAGACACCACTGAGAGCACTGGGACAGCACTGGGACACCACTGGGTTGTACTGGGAAGCACTGGGAGCACTGGGACACCACTGGGAAGCACTAGGACAACACTGGGATGCACCAGTGGGAAGCACTAGGACAACACTGGGATGCACCACTGGGATGTATTGGGAATCACTGGGAGCACTGGGACACCGCTGGGATGCACTGGGACACCACTGGGACACCACTGGGATGCACTTGGAAGCACTGGGATGCACTGGGACACCGCTGGGAATCGCTGGGAGCACCGGGACACCGCTGGGATGCACTGGGACACCGCTGGGAATCGCTGGGAATGCCCGGGAGCTCCGGTCTGCCCGCGGTGCTGCAGCTCCCGCCGTGGCCGCTGGGGGGCGCTGTGCCCGCCCTGTCTCACGCCGTTGCCAAGGCGACGCGGCGGCCGCCGCGCAGGCGCAGTGCGCGGTGCCGCCGCCCCCGCCATGGCCGAGGCCGCCATGGCCGCGCAGGCCCCTCCGGACGAGGAGGCGGACGAGTGTCTGCGGGAGTACCGGCACCTGCTCAGCCCCGACCTGCTCGCGTGAGTCCCGGGGGCCGCGGGGGTCCCTCCGCGCCGCATCCCCCGGGGCCCGGCTCTCACCGTCCCTCTGTTCCCGCAGGGGCCAGGTCGCCTTCATCACCGGCGGCGGCTCCGGCATCGGCTTCCGCATCGCCGAGATCTTCATGAGGTCCGGACTCCCCTCCCTCCCTCCCTCCTTCTTTCTCTCCTTCCCCTTTCCCCTTCCCCTTTCCCCTTCTCTTCCCCAGCTGCGGTGACGGGCCCTGGAAGCCCCGGGATGTGAAGCCGAGGGCAGCAGAGCCCCGAGCAGAGCTTTGGGCAGGAGCGGGACTGGCTCCGGGGCTGCGGCTGTGGGAGCAGGACCGGCCCTGTCCCAGCCCGGGGCAGAGCTCTGGTTCTCTCTGCGGGCTCGGGGCCGCAGCGGCTCCTCCAGGGCCTGCCCACACTGCCGAGGTGCCGGTGAGGAGCCGGCGCTGCCCGGCCCCTCTGACCAGCCCGTTCCCTGCAGGCACGGCTGCCGGACCGTCATTGCCAGCCGGAACCTGGAGCGGGTGTCGGAGGTGAGTCTGGGAATCCTTCCGCCCTCCCTGGCTGCAGCTGGGAGCCCTGGGAATAGTGCAGCAGGAGAGAGGACTTGCCAGTGCTGCCCTGTCTCCCAGCTCTGAGCACTCCAGCACCAGCAGCTGGTGGTGCTGGGCAGGGTGCCTGCGGGTTTAGGGGGGCTGCACCTCCTGGCACAGCTCAGTTAACCTGGAACCTGCTCTGGGGGGGCTCTTCCACACATCACGTTGGCTTTTTCTGGGTGAGAGAGAGAGAAACAAGATGAGGTAGAGGTCTGTCAGCAGAAACGTGGCAGAACCCAAGGGCAGACTTAAACCTCAGCTTGGAGTGGTTCCAGATGCCCTTGTGCAAGGGTTGTGTGGGTGGGTACACTGAGCCCCAAAAGCTCCATTATCCTGTGTTTTGGGGCAGAGGGGAAGGTGCAGGAGTGCTGTAATTTCATGTTCCCTTATATGCTAGAAAAAGCTGCAAAGCTCAGCAGGTTTTAGTCCTCTGAGGTCACAGGCTGGGGCTCCTGGTGCTCAGTGCACCAGAGTGTTGTTGGGGCTCAAAGCCTCTCACAGAAGGGGCCCAAGGAGTCGAGGCAGGGAGGTGGAGTGTCACTGGGTGTTGTGCTTAATTTGCTAGGGAAAATCACTTTCTTAATGAGTCTCAGGGGTGGCTTGTGGCAGACCCTAAGCTGCAGAGCTGGCCCCTTTCACAGCTGACACCTGCCTGCTCTGCCTTTGCCCTTTTGCCCACTAACTTTTTGGACCTAAAGGTTAATGATGTCTGTACTCGTGCCAGAAATGCCTCGTTGGGGTCCAACCTTTGTACTTGCCCTGCAGAGATGTTTCCTGGGATGTGCTGTGTCCATGGCAGGCCACAAAGATAACCGAGCTTAGCAAGCTGTAGCCTCAGGGCCAGGCCAGCATCCAGTTTGGTTGGGACATGATGTGCAGGAGTTCTCCCTATCTACCCCAGGGCTCCCAGGCTGCTGCCAGGCAGGAGCTGGCCATGTTCAGACAGGTCTTTCCCCTGTCCACGCTGTTTGCTGTGTGCTCACAGGGATGTGGCTCCTCCCCGACTTCGTGCTCACCTGATACAAGGTCTAGGTCCAACCCCTGCTGAAGAAGAAAGTCCCAGAAAGCTTCTGAAGTCTCTTTTTATTCTTGCAGGCCTCAAAAAAGCTGGTGGCAGCCACAGGGCAGCAGTGCCTGCCTCTGTCCATAGATGTGAGGCAGCCCCAGACCATCGTGGCAGCGGTGGATGAGGCGCTGAAGGAGTTCAAGAGGATCGATATCCTCATTAACGGTGAGGATGGAGTGGGCAGGGGGAGGATTTGGGACAGGCTTGCTACTGGGAAGGGCATGTTCCTGCATGGGCCTCCCTGGGAGCATGGAGGTTCATGGTGCATGGCCATCCCTGTTTGCCTGGATTGGACCACCCCTGCCTCTGCCCTCGGGCTGGCTGTGCTACTGGGCACCTGGAGCCTCCAGCGTGTCCCCATATCAGGGCTGTCTCCACGTGCTCGCCAGTCTACCCAGACTGTATCCCTCGCCCTGCCTGTCAGAGAATTGCCCTGAACCTGTGGGATCTCTCCTGGTCTTGTTCTGACTGTTCCTGTTGTTCAGGTGCTGCAGGAAATTTCCTGTGCCCAGCCAGTGCCCTGTCCTTCAACGCCTTCAAGACAGTGATAGACATCGACACCATCGGCACCTTCAACACCTCCAAAGTCCTCTTTGAGAAATATTTCCGGGTAAGTGGCACCGGAGCCAGAGGACTCGGAGGAGAGGCTCTGGTAGGTGAGGGGTAGTGTCAAACCATACTGTGCTCCTAAGGAGTTCGGGGAAGTGTGGAGGGCACAAGGGAGCGCAGCAACCGTGTACTCAGGGCCGTGCTGCTGGGCCTCTGCCACCCACCCTGTGCAGATCCATTCCATTCCCTTCCAGGGATCCCAGCCCTGACCTGGGAATCCTGCTTGTCCTTGGGCTTTGGGCTGTTCCATACTCTGCCACCTGAAGAAGCTGTGATCTGCTGCTCCTTCTCCAGCTCTTTTGCTTTTTCTTGTCCTTTCCTTGTTCCCTGCATGTCCCACCTTCCTGGCAGGGCTCCTCTGACTGCCCCAGCTCTGAGGTTGGGTGGACAGAGCTGCCCCAGTGATGGTTTGGCAGTGCCCATGGGTGACTGCCCCTCCTAGCCCAGCTCTGCTGTCCTCCCTGTGTGACCCTTTGTGCTCTTTCCTAACTCTGCATCTCCTTTCCTTCCCCAGGACCACGGCGGGGTCATCGTTAACATCACAGCGACCCTGAGCTACCGAGGGCAGGCCCTCCAGGTGCATGCTGGAGCTGCCAAGGCTGCTATAGGTACTTCAGTGCTCCCTGCTGGGGCTCTGAGTTGTGTGGGGCCAGTAAAAAAGACAGTTCTTCCCAAATGTTGGGATGGGAAGATGTCCTGGGGAGGGGCAAGCATGAATGGGTGTGGTTACTGCATGCCTGGGTTTGGGATGAGGCTCTTCCCTCTCTCCCAGGGTCCTTTGTTCTCAGCCAGAGTCTTCTTTTTGCCTGCCCCCCACCCCCCAATAAAAAAGTTACTGGAATGGCTCCACTCCCCATGTCTCATTCCTGTTGTAATCCCTCCCCAGATGCCATGACCCGTCACCTGGCTGTGGAGTGGGGACCCAACAACATCCGTGTGAACAGCTTGGCCCCAGGACCCATCACGGGCACCGAGGGCTTCCGGCGACTGGGTGAGGCAACCTGGGCTCCCATCCCTGCCTGGCATCTCCCTGGGAGGGGACCAGGGGGACCCCCAGTGCCACACAGATCATGGGGTGTTGCTGCTTGGCAAGGCTGTCCTGTGGGCTGGCATGTCCCTGTGGGGGAACAGCCTTTCCACAACCCTGGTACCTCCCAGGACACTGTTTATTCCCTTGAGTGGCATCTTTTTGTACTCTCTGATGCCATGATGGAACGTGCTCCCCCAAAACTCAGCCTTGCCTGATGGTTTGGTTCTTGTAGTCCGTCAGGGGAGTGCTGGTGCAGCCCTGGAGGCTGAGAAAAACATGGAACTGTTGGAGTGAGTCCAGAGGAGGCCATGAAGATGCTCCAAGGGCTGGAGCCCCTCTGCTCTGGAGCCAGGCTGGGAGAGCTGGGGGGGTTCACCTGGAGAAGAGAAGGCTCCAGGGAGACCTGAGAGCCCCTTCCAGTGCCTAAAGGGGCTCCAGGAGAGCTGGAGAGGGACTGGGGACAAGGGATGGAGGGACAGGACAAGGGGGAATGGCTTCCCACTGCCAGAGGGCAGGGTTAGATGGGATATTGGGAAGAAATTTCTGTCTGTGAGGGTGGTGAGGCCCTGGCACAGGTTGCCCAGAGAAGCTGTGGCTGCCCCATCCCTGGAAGTGTCCAAGGCCAGGTTGGACAGGGCTTGGAGCAACCTGGGCTGGTGGAAGGTGTCCCTGCCCAGGGCAGGGAGTTGGAATAGGGTGAGCTTTAAGGTCCCTTCCAACTCAAACCATTCCATGATTCCATGATTCTAAAGCTCTCTGAGGTCCTATGTTGAGCTTGCTGTGTCAGTACAAACCCCACTGCTGGGCCTGAGCTCCCCTCCTTTAGCTCTCCCCAGGTTTGTGTCCCCAGGGTTGTCCCAGGATCCGATTGCAGTTCCCTGGAGCACTGAACAAGCCCCACAGGCAGTGCTGCAGTACCTGGCAGGCCGTGGTGATGGGCAGGTGCTCCCACGATCCAAGCTGACTATTTTCTGTCGCTTTTAGGTGGGAAATTTGCTGAGAAATCGAGCCTGTTTGACACGATCCCCCTGCAGCGCGCGGGGAACAAGACGGAGATTGCCCACAGCAGCCTGTACCTGGCGAGCCCCCTCTCCTCCTACGTGACAGGAACCACCCTGGTCGTGGATGGTGGGAGCTGGCTCACCTCTGCCAACAGCTTCTCTGCCTTGCTGGGTATTGCCTCATCCTCTGCTAAACTCTAGGTGACGTGCATTTCCCCCCGGGGGGTCGGAGCAGGGCTCCTCAGGGAAACACTTTCCCTGTGGAACAGAGCACAAGTCTGATGTGGAGCAGCTGAGGGAGCTTGGGGGTTTAACCTGGAGCAAAGGAGGCTCAGGGGGGATCTTGCTCTCTACAACTCCTTGACAGGAGGGTGGAGCCAGGGATGGGTCGGGCTCTGCTCCCAGGGAACAAGGGACAGGACAAGGGGAAACAGCCTCAAGTTGCACCAAGGGAGGTTTATATTGAATATTGGAAAAATTTTTTCACTGACAGGGTGGTCAGGCATTGACACAGCTGCCCAGGGCAGTGGTGGAGTCCCTGTCTCTGGAGGGATTTAAAAGCCCTGTGGATGTGGCACTTGGGGACATGGGTTAGTGGTGGCCTTGGCAGTGCTGGGGGAATGGTTGGACCTTTCAGAGGGCTTTTCCAACCCAAACAATTCCACGATTCTCTATGTGCATGGCTGCCATGGCAGTGGGTATGGTGACCTCATGGACACTCCTAGAGATGACCTGGGGAGGGCAGGAGAACTTGCTAGGTTTGTCCTTTGAGCCTGCATTGTGACATGGTGTTTCTTGTCATTCCCACTGGATGCTTGTCCAGACACCTCTGAGTGTCCCCCAAAGCAACATGGTGTCCCTTTGCTGTGCCCCAGCAGCAGGATTGGGCACAGAGGGTCCCGACAGCCTCTTCCTTGTACATGTTCCCCCCAGGCTGTCAGGGAAAGGGGTCTCCTTCCTTCCCGTCTCCCCTGCCTGTGTCCCACCCAGTAGCCTCCGTGAGCCGGGCCTGGCGAGGCAGGACTCTGTCCCCACCTCCACATTCTCTTGCAGATTTCTGGTCTGCAGGAGCAAACCAACCCCAGTGATGGACAGCGTGGGACTGACCGATGGACAGACGTGACCGAAGCTGCCCTGGGACACCTCGGGGTGACACCTGTCCCGGAGCAGGTGCATGGCCATGGCCTCTGATTGGTAACTGGTGGTGGTGGTGACACTGCCAGCCCTGTGTCTGCCTGGGGGACAGAGCTCAGGAGTTACTGGGTGGGGAGCAGTCCCACACCCATCCTGTGCCTTGACTGTCTTCTGAGCTGCTGTGGCTGAGGGCACAGGGACAGCACAAGGGGTGGGGCTGGGATGGTCACTGTCCCTTTGTGTTCCTCTGAGCTGCTCTCCTGGCCTTTCCCAAGTCCCAG